GCTTCAAAACACGTGTTTTCGGTAACACCTTCAAATTTTTCAAAGAATATTAGAGTAATGAATATTTTGGTATATATAATTTTGTTTTAATTTTTTTTTAAATATTCAAATAATCGGGAAAATTCCAATAGAAATTTAAAGTAAAAAATGTTTTGTTTTTTTTCCTTATTGCTGGAGATATTTTACCCCAATCCTGACATGCCTGGAAATATATCCAATTATTACCAAATATACTTACTACTAAACCTGTGGTATTAAAACACATTCTTGACAATCATTGCTTTCTACAAGAAAGCAGAATTTAATTTTCCCAGAATTTAATTTGCTTCACATTAAATGATTAGTAATATTGCGTTGCAAGTTAATGGAAGTAATATTTGTCTCTACTTCTAATTTATTAATACTGATTTTCTGGCTTCATGCCATAAAAATGTCCATGAAATAGCTGTTCACATTCCACCAAGCAGCAACTGGTATTCAAGAGAAAGATTCACACAAATAGAAAGTTATTCTTTTTGGGCCGGTTCACCATTTCATTTCAGACTTCTTTTAGTTGCAAACGTATTCTGGGAAAGCAACATATTACATTTAAGAATTATTTAACCCACTAACACCTGAATTAATTTTGCATGCACAGTGCTAGCCCATTGTTACTTTCATGCATGCTGAGCCAATCTAGATAGCCTACGCTATCTAGAAGTATTTTGACATTTGTCTCCAGTTTCTATTACTAGAGCACTCACAAACATTGACCACTGGTAATATGAGTAACTTTTTCTAAAAGTAGTAAAACCATTAGAAATACTGCCCCATAAAGTTTGGTGTGGACTCACCAGTTTGTTTTACAAAGTTGCCATAAAACAAACTGGTTGGTCCATAGACACCTACCAGTAAAACAAACTTAACCAAAGGCAGCATAGCAGCTAGGCCCTTAGTAATCTGGTTAGCATGCTTGCTTTTCATGGTAAAACCTCAGGGTCGATTCCCGGCCAGGCTAAAATAATAACTGAGCGCTTGCTTTACAAATGTCCCAATATCTATTCCTTCCTTCTACCATGAGCAAGCCCACCTTAAGGTTATGAAGACCAGGATATACAATGAAGGCATGTCTGCATTCTAACCACATGCCTTGTCCCATGGCTCAGAAGGCTGGGTCACCGTTGGACGGCCAGGGCCCATAGTGAGCTAACCATAAGACATGACACAGCAGCTTAGCACAGATTTAGAAGATTCAAACCAACATATCATAAATAAACCCTGGCCAGGAGCTTACAATAGTAAAAGGCTAGACATCTAGCATTCAGGAATTCCAAAACAAACTTTCTTTTAGGAAGTCAACATGTATTACAGTAATAAAAACATCACAAATTAATACAAAATAAACAAATTTTTGCTGACTAGAAAGGTGCATCCTCAAATGAGGACTACGGCCATTAATAAAACTGTAAATGTAAATCTTAAACTGTACTATCAACAGCAATTGAGAAGTTACCTCCAATGCACATGCTTTTATTAGACAAATTTTTTTGGAGTTTCAGCAAATGCGCACAGCAGCTTCACAGCCTCAGAATTGGCAGTGTGCGAGTGTGCTCACAATCTCTCAGAATCAATCAAAAAGAAGCATGTAAATCTGGTATAAACATGCATTCACTATTTAATCATTGTAAGTGTGTCTGTAATTGTAATGTAACCATTATAATTAATACAGTGTGATTAAATATCACACATGAGAATGGAGATTCCTTAAAATTTGTTATGGCATTATCATAGGTGTTTAAAAAACATAACTTTGTTGAGCTCACATTCAACAATAACCGACCATCAACACTGAGCAAACAACATATTTTCTTATTCTTGTAAAGGGAAGTCCAAAAAGGATAAAAAATGATAAGTCATATTGCTTTAGATAAGTCTATATTTTCAAATAAACTTAAGCTTTGACAGCATATTTTCTTGGAGGGAATGCTTGCCTCTTTCTAATTTCCTTCTGAGTTTTAATTCTGCTCTCGTGTTTGGTCAACTTTCTTCGAAGAGCCCTTGTTTTCTTGGGTCTAAGGTCCAAAGGCTTGTACTTTTTCCCCTGAAACAAAAATTTACAGTATAAGAAGAGAAATCCCATTGTAATTCTTGGTGACAGAACTGTTTCATATATGGAAATTTCACAACTGCTATTTGATAATCATGAATAAAACAAAAACTAAGTAAATTTTATTTTTCTTTGAGTTAATTATACAAAATCTAGCACTTTCGAAGTAAATTTGTACTTGCAATGTATGTTCAGATTTACTTCGAAAATTCACACAGCAAGAAATTGTACCGGTTGTGAAATAAGGCTAGGACGACAAATATGATACCAAAAAAGTTCAAAAATGCAATGGTTTCTCATCACGTAGAAATTATAAACATGATTCTAGTGGCCATGCTTTCCAACATAACAGTATCTTGATGCCCCACTCTCAGTCCCTTAAACTAATAGTTTTCATGTTTAACAATCCTGCTTAGCATGTCATAAGTTTATCAACCTGCTCTTAAATTCATGTGTTTTCTGATGCCCAACAGTATTCATGGCGTGTTCAATCTAGGAAACTTTGAGGCACTGGAGAGTATACAAGAGTATTTTCAGTCAAATCAAACACCTAAAGCCGGAGAAACCTCTTGTATTGTGCCTTTTGTTTTTGTGTTGTGTTAATTTGAATTTGATACACTGAAGACATTTGTTTGCCGTTTTTTTTCTTCCCTGTTAATATACACTTTTATGTTTAGACTTAATGCTTTAATGAGGTGTTAATGAGATTCTACTAAACATTATTAATTTTTATACAAATAAATTATAAACATAATTAATGCATTTAATTTGAAATTCTGACACTAATAGTGAGTTTTTTGCTAGATTTATAAGTACTTTACATATTTCAAGAATTTGCCACTGACTGAATCTAATGTGGATCTCCTGGTTTATACCCAGTTGCTCAAAACATCTCCAATACAAATTACCTCTCCAATAAGGTGACAAAAAATGTAATAATCCGTATTGTTTAATAAATTGTTCTTTTATGATCTTCCTATGAATAAAAAAATTGGCAATAGACTGCCTATACCATAAAATTATATACACAATAACACAAGATTCTAGTTGACATTTTCACAACTGTAATTTTAAGCTTAAACATTGATGCAACAAAAACATAGAGAAAATTTGAAGGCTACCTTGAAGAGTTTCCGCAAGTTCTCCTTTTGTTTCTGGTGCATAACAATATACACCCGAGCAATAGCCTTCCGCACAACTCGGCTAAAATAGAAAATATAACAACTTTTTAAAAAGTATTCAACATTTAAAAACAGCTCCTTAAGTCACAACAGTTTAATGAAATATAAATGTAAAAATACAAAACTGATGTTAAAAGGCACTTTATCACATGTGTTATCTAATTCAAAAGTATAATGTCTCCTTGTCCTACCAGACAAGACATTTAAATAATCTGGAACACCAAGATTGTCCAAAATGAGCATGGGAGTTCACTTGAAATATAAACGAATGGCAAAATAAGAACGTTTATTTCCTTAGTAAATAAACAGCCCATCAACCTCTTCAAATGCACGGAAATCGTGCAGTTCAAGTGAACCAATTAAAAAAGCGTAATTACAAATTGGTAATTGCAAATGTAAACTTACATTTTTGATAGCTTGGAAGCAGCACCTCCAGTAACTTTAGCAACACGTAAGTTACCCAGCTCCTCCTTCAACTCCCCGAGCTGCTTCATCAGCTCCTTTTTATCCTTTGTTCGGAGTTCCGAGCACTTTACTTTCCCCTAAAATAGCATACATAAAAGTTTTAATGAAACATAACCTGGCACCCAACATACTAAGAATTTCACACACTATTCACTCCTCTATTGCGCATCATTCACACATTTAACGATAAACATGAATTCTTACAATACGATACTATATCTATTAACATTATACCATTGCCGATGTATTTGATAAATATCAATAACAGGAACATGCTCGTACACTTACCATGTTGGCGATTAGGTAGAACGGACAAGACACTAAAATGAACCAACGATCTCACGGAACTCTCACACGACTAGAAAGGAACTGGAAGAGAGAAATGTTAGTCATTGAGAGTTTGAAATTCATATAGTAATTTATTTTTTTATATCAAATATTTTATTACAGATACATAAATATTCTTACAGGATCTAAAAAATAAAGGAAATCAGTAAAACCGTTTGCTTATCTGATAATCAAACAAACCATACAATTGTTTTGACTTTGATGGTGAATTAGGCTGCATGATATTGGACAGTTCCATTTCAGTGTCATCACAGAATAATCTGATACCTTCGTGCTTTCGTGTTACGAACAAGTGTATAACTATATTCTCTTTAGCGGGTGGAAAGGAAACCGGAATTCAACGAACAGATAGGAATTGGGGGGCGTGGTGTCTTCTTGTTGGCGATTTTACTTTGTCATCTCGCAATGGCTAAGAATACGTCAAGTTCTGCCTTCAGAAAAATAGATGTTGATCAATATAATGAAGATAACTACAGGGAAGAAGAGCAAGCTGAACTACAGTCTCCGCCTATTGGGCCTGACGAAGCTGAAGTGACAGCTCTGATGAATCAGTATCCTTTGCGGTATTATTGGAAAGATACTAGATCTCTGACACTAGTACCGAATGCGTACTGTAGTAATTCTCATCGCGAAGGGTTTCTAATGTGGAGTCCAACTTATAGAGATAACCTAATTCATGGCATTTAGTGATGGAAAGCCATTTTTTTCGCGGAAAAGCATGTTTGTTTTGTGACAAAAATGTGAAATAATAAGTGAGAACATCAAAAATGCAAGTCCAACAGAGATGCTTAGAGTGAGGGAGTTGTGTGATTTTACGTATTCTGATTGATAATTGTTTCATTTTCTTTCTTGTATTAATTTCGTACTGTGTGCCCATTTTCAAGTCACTTTGCTTCACATTACACTTGTTCAGATGATTAACTTTTAATGTACCCGAATTACATATTAATTGTATAATGAGTCTTTTATTTTTTTTTTTTTTTGGCTGGACAATCCTATTCTGTCTGTATATAGTAATGATTGTTATAGGGACCCAACACTCCCAGTGCCATACTTTGAAAGAGAAAAATGTTGATTATACTTTCTGGAAACCAAACTTCTAAATTTCTTTGGTTAGGAAGGCCTTTTTGTCACTGTGAAACTTCCGTTCAGGATTATCATTCTGTCTGTTTGTCTCATTTCTTTTGACATGCATTTCTCCATGTGTATCTTCCTGTTTTTTTAATTTTTTTTATTTAGTGCTTTCCACTTTAGTGCTTTATTTAGTGCTCCCCACTTCACCCATTTGAAATAAGGAAGGTCCATTTAGAGCAGTTTGGAAAACAATAAATTTCAATACTAATTGAATCTAAATTTTCATAATTATTCATTTCAGGTCTTCTTTTATGTAATTTGGATTTATAGGGTTCAATGGTAAAATAATAATACAATTTTTAAAATTCATAATTATTTCTTGTCCGGCTTTACAATACAATCAGATAGTAGAATAACTCTTGCTGCTTTTATCAGTTTATCCAGATTTAATTTCAACATATCACTCATTGTTTTTATTTCCCTCTGTTATAAATTGTTTGTATCAAAATATTTGTTTTGGGAATATTCATACTACCTCTTTATATTTTTTCCAATAAGAATTCTTAATATATGGTTAGGTAGAAGAGTGGGCCAAATGATTTCAGCCTTACCATAAACATAATAATAATTTTATTGATGACCAATTCCTCCAGAGACATGACACTGACCTTTAGGATGACAATACTACAGTAATTGTTTTCATACCATCTGGATTTCTGTTTTATAACATGAACCAGTCTATATTTTTTCCAGTTTTGCCTAGTAGGCTGACAAATGTTAGTTTTTCCACAGTGATATCTAACATCAAGAACTGGAGTATTGTACATTATCCCAGGCAGTGATATCAGGGCTGTTATTATATTTTTATCAAGCATGAAGTGCCAGTTCCACTGATGCTCCTAGGTCCACTTACATAACTTGGTTGTATGGGGGTCTTCTCCTAAAGGAGACAGTATTTCTGAGCAAGAAATGTGATTGTTTGCTCCATGTTGATGTGCATTTATTTCTAGTTGGTGGGTGCCAAACCAAGCCTATAGAAAGCTGCATTGTTGCACTTTGGCCAGTCCATATTGCAACTTTATATTCCAGAATCTTTAATGATGCAGTGGAGGATTTTTTTTTCTATTATTTGGTCAGTGGCATGTCTATCTCAGGATACAGTTACTACATGTACAACATGTCAATATAAAAGTTTAGAGTTGGATACTGCTGTGGGATATATGTTATGTAGTCACTTCCGTTTCCATTTCTCCTGCAGTAAGGGTCGCATGTGCAGAAGATTGATAGTGCTGTCGATTACTTTGATGCTGGAGGGTGCAAAAACTCCTGTTATTTTAATAATATAATTATAATAGAAAATATTATGTAGATCCCTTTATATAGGCACATTTGTTCAACTGCTGAAGTATTAGAACCTTGTAGGTGCACATCTTGTCAAATACAGAATACAATAGTTGTTTACGCTGAGATTCAAAGTTTAAATGTATGAATATACATTTGATAATTTTTCTTGAAGTGTTTTATATTCGAGAGTTAACGGTAATCTGATATACAAACAACTTGTAAGTATAAATTGGAATAAAAATACATTGTATATATCGTGTTAATAATTCTTGATTTCAAAATAGCAGGGTATGTGATTATACTCCTCAAATACACATTTGTTATGTTTGCCTTATTTGGACCAAAGAAGGTTCTGAAAGGATAATTAAAAATGAAAGAAAATACTAATTTGGGGCAGATATATGCATCTAGTATCAATTACCAATCAAATTACATGTGAGCCACAAACTATTTTGATTTTGGGTAAAACATAACTTTCATAATCAATAGTGATCACTCCAAGATACTGCATAGTCACATCCAGATTTACTGTTCTCTTTATTACTTCACATACATGAAAGTATTGTTATGCCGTGGCAGAAATAGTCATTTTTTTTTGACAGAAAAACTCTGGAAATAAAAAAGTGGAAAAATCTTCTTGCAAGATATAGTAAATTATTTACTCTAACATGTAGAGGAATCAATAAAGAAGTGTACTCAGAATCCATGTTTTACAAAAGCACATACTCACAGTATTTCTTATCTTTGACAGTTTTCAAAAAGTTGTTCAATACACAATGCATCCTTTACTCTATTCATGAAAACCATTTTGAGCTGCTTTTGAAAAATATAAATTGCATTGTATTCAAGCAATAAAAAAATTCAGGCATAAAAAATATTGTATTTAAGAATAAAATCTGATCAATAATGTACTTTTTTTGAAATTTTCAAAAGTAGTGTTTTCCCTAAAAATGGGAACAGCAACAATTTTTATTTCAATTATTAATAATTTCCCTCGCAAAAGTACAATATAGATGAGAGTTTTTTATCTCAAAATTATTTTATAGATCGGATCTTTAAAATAAGGCAGGTACAATTTATAAACAAAAATCTCAAAAACGGTTCAAATTTTTATTTTTCACCGAGAGCAAAGGGTGATTATAAAACAATGCACACCTCATCTTCATTGAACTCTGTGAATTTGAAGAGCTACGTAATCTATATCTGACGGATTGGAGACTAAAAAGGTTGTGTTCCACAAGTCTTTTCAAATGATTTGCCTCTTGATCTTGATATGAAGTACTTAACTTGTAACAGAGGACGACATGTAGATGCACTGAAAACAGTGTTGAAAAATGCTCCTTTGGGTTCTAAGAACCAGCTTGTTAAGGTAGGTATACATATTCCAAATTACTTTGCAATATTTTGTTTCACATTTCTAAACATCTCTCTTTTTTCAGGACAATGCTTTAAATTTGACTCTGCGAGTTCTCTTGGCTATAAAATCTTCCCAAATAGAGGAAGTTGTTGCTGCTTTAGACAAAGATCTTATTGATGTTCTCATGAAATATGTGTACAGAGGATTTGAAACTCCTTCTGAAGGAAGCAGTGGTCATTTACTACTGTGGCACGAAAAGGCATATGCTGTGGGTGGGGTTGGGAGCATAATGCGAGTCCTGTCAGACACAAAGCGGGCGTAAATATTGTGTATGAAAAGTGCATAGAACAGTTTATCTTCATTTAAACTGGGAAGAGGAGAACAGTGGAAGAATGAAGAAATTAATGAACTTTCCCAAACCTGACGCATTTATTTTCAGTTTCTTTTTTGTCATATCTTATGAATATAGAATTCATTATGTTAAAGGCTTAAAAAAATATATATTGAATAAAATGTTTTATTGTACAAAATTATGTATTGTAAATACTAAGTATAGTTTTTTCATAGAAATGAAACATCTGTACAATACTATGGGTATAACATCCATTCCAGTTCATTTCCTTACACTTCTGCCAAGGCACTGTGTTACTCATCGATAGGGGGGGGGGGTCAGCAGATCAAGTGTCTATAGTTTTGATTTCTGTGTTTTCACCAAAACATTGTGCATATCATCAAAGGATTCTTCAAGAGCATCTTTAAATTTAGAAGCACTTGTATCTGGGCAAGATTTGAAAGCAGATATACCCATGTGAATTTCATTAGCACGAGGATTGTAGCAGCAAGCATAACCGTCATTAACCAAGGGTCCATAGCACATAAATGCTTCACATTTTCCTGCCACCTAAGGAAAGTAAACCAGCAATAATCTTGCAAATTCAACATTACTCAACATATTACTTGTTCACTTTACATTTGTAGATGGAAGAACTCTTAGTTTGGAAGGCTAGAGCCTGTACGAACAACCAAAAACGCGTGAAGAATATTGGAGAGTGCCTGAAGGTAAATTAATTATAAATAATGGGGAGGACTATTGTGAGAGAAAAATATTGTTATTAATATCATTAAAAAGACCTATGAATAGAGCAGCAGTATCAGTAGGAAAGGGTTAATGAATAAAAGATGTATGGAAAAAGACTCATTTTTTTAATTCCCAGGGAAATGAACCTCATTCTAAAAAATGATAATGGAAATTGGATTTAAAATGCAAAAATCACAAGATCAGTTTTAGTGAGGAAAGACCATAAATGTAATGAAATGGTTTTTAGTATTCTCAGATGGTAATGGTCCTTGAAAAATGATTTACAATGATTAAATTTAGATGCACACCGACTATTCTATAAATAAGTGCCAGCAACACAGTGAGGTACCCAGACTACTAAAGAGCAATAGTGTTTTTTTTGCAGATTTACAATATTCTGCCTTCATACCATTTTACTTTAGTCCTGTAGAGATGGTTTCAAAAATGAAAGAAAAAAAATGGCCCCCAGCTATGCCAGCAGTGTAAATCGTCCAGTACTTTACAACTGACAACAACAATAGGCATCAGCCTGTGATAATGCTTGTGAAAAAGTTAAAGAAATTAAGAATGAATACTGGTATTGAGTTAGATTAATGGAAGAAGCCATTAGAAATAAAATAAATATGGGATACTTATGATCCCCTGGGAAACGATCATTTGAAGACTCCAGTTTAATAGCAATACTGTAATACTGTAGTTGTTTCTGAAGCAAGTAAAGGTGCTACTGGCACTGCTTACAAATTACAACTGAGATTGAGCTAGGAGTCAGATCCCTACAACATTCACAAAAGTAATGTATAATATAATAAATTAACAATACTGGTCATTCACAAAAGCCACCGAAAATGTTAAAATTATTCTTTTCATTACGTTTACTACATAATGTTTACATTCTAATATCCAGCGTCAAGTAAGTTTCTATTCACTGCCATCTGCAATCTAATTAATTTGTATCTTATTTAGACATGATTTATTCAGTTGGTGACACTATGTAAACAGATAGCTACTTTCCATGTACAAATGTAAAGTGAACGAGAAGTACAAATGATCATGCACAACTTTTCTTTACCTGACTAGTTGAAATTCTCATATGTGAACTGCGGACATAAGCCACATCTTTGTACAACTCTGGCACCTGAATACCATTTTCTAATGCAATAAGCTTAAGCCCCAGGAGATGTCTATCAACACCACATCCATTAACAGCCTACAATTGCAAAGATTAATTAAATTAATTATCTTAGAAAATGTTGATATTTCATTGTTTTTTTGAATCCTAATTTGCTTACTTCCAAAGTATACTTTTTGTGACCATTTACAGCTTCTTTCATAGCCTTCACTTTCTCTTCATCTGATTTTGAACAGTCCAACATGGTTTCTGCAAAAGCTACAGATTCACATGAACAAGATCGAATTGTTTCAGTACGACCCCCAAAATACTTTCTTGTGGAAGCTGATTCATAATGAGCACCAGGTAATTTATGTAATCTGCAATAGAAAAATTTCTCATATACATACTTGGACGTTTAATTTTAGAGTTTATGACTATTCTTGATTTTATGATTACCTATAGAATGCAAATTGAATGGCCATTTGAATGAAACTATCAGGACTCATTTTCTGTGACTTAGGAAATTCTTTTCCATAACCTTTATATACGTAACCATACATCTCCAAATCATCAACCATGCTGAAATAAGAAGAATGAAACATTTTACGTAATTCAATTTTCAAGTTCAATCAACGAATAAATTATATCAAACTATGGTTGTTTAAATGTTTCAGTTCAATAAAATAAATTTACAATGATTAATGTTCGGCGATTAACAAGTGTAATTTTAACTCTACATATAATACTTGTTATACTCACGCATCTAAATTCTTTTCAGCAGTTTGAATTGCACATTGTAGTTCAGATGAGGTGTTGAAAGGAAGATGATTGGGCTTTGGCACACAGCCTGATGTTGATAGTTTTAAACCTCCTTTGTTACTAAAAACAAACACCAGAAAGTAACTTGGACACTCAAATAAATACTCCAAATTTAATTTATAATATAAAGTTGTGCAAAACTACTGTCAGAATTCTCTCATTTTCCATTGTACTTTTATCTCTATAAAAGCAGAAAATGACCAACTACAGTAAAATCTGATTAAGCCGGAATAGACTGGGACAAAAATAAATTCTGATTTTGAGAAGCTTCACTTTTATGCAGGGTTGTTTATTTCATGACATTTGTAATAATGATATTTCCATCATGAAACTAGGACATTACATGACAATTATAGTTAATATTATCAAATAATGTATTTATTTATGGTTATTTATTTGTGGATGGAAATCACCAACAAATGAATATTAAACATTCTTCATTGACAGCTTCTGGGTTTCTCTTGCTTCTATAAGTTTGACCTTTTCATCTAAGGTTCATGTTTTATGGTTGTTGTGTTTTTCAACCATTGTTAAACTGGTTCTGAAACTCAAAAACTGCACTCTACCTCATGGCCTAATGGCTGCAGTCGGACTGCTTCTTGACTCTTTCAATGCAAAATACATTACAGCCCAGAGTTTTATGAGTGACTTTCTGATACCCTCTTTGAGCAGTGTCTGGCAGACGGGTTATGATTTTCAACGCGGGCAGGGAGATGAGCGCATAGAAGCCATGTCCGTAATTCCTGTGTAGCCTATGCCATGAGGGACAAGCGACCCCAAAGTCGGATTCTATGCTGACAGCTGAAGCCCTTTCCGCCGTGCAGCAACCATGACTAAATCGCGTGTCACTTGGATAGAGAATTTAAAACAGACTTGCAGATGCATTCTTTTCATTAAGAATATCTCACATGTCTCTGCGAATCCTCAGGAATTCCGCTTTCTACAGGATTTCTTCCCTTGCAGGACATGGAAAAACCGTTCCGTTCCGTTGGACAGATTCACTTTTATGCTGTTCAAACTTAACGGGCTGGATTCCGGTGTGTACAGGTTCCGGTTTAGACAGATTTTACTGTAATATGTCATCTACTTACATGACATCTACAACATGATCCATTAGACCAGCAACCGGTGGACCTTCTGCAGGGCTGTGTTCGTAAGTAATTCCCAATTCACCAGTGGTCCCAATCACAAACTGAATAACACAGAAATGGCACATAGATAAATATCTACATTCATTTTTAGGAAACTTAAATTTCATTTTTAACAAAAGAGCTTTGAAAATATTTTTTCTTATGACCATCAAACCATCAAAATCATTTATGATTGTGAGGACCGTAAATTGGGATCCAAGACGTTTCAAACAACAAAAGTAAATTTTTGTGTTCAGGCAAAAAAATTGAAATACATATAAAGTCACATGTATTTGAAGTAATTAATTTTGAAGTTTCTTTTAACATTCCAAACTGGTTGAAAGTGGGAGAAATCATAGGACAATCTCAGGCGCGGATCCATGGAGAGGGAAATTTCCCCTCCCAATTTTTTTTCCAGTAACTATTAATTTTAACTATTCCACCACGATAAGGTGGTTGACCTCTCGAACTCGGAATTGTGTTGGTTATGGCGTTTGACAGTTTGGTATTTCTTGGAGTTCTCGTGATGATTTCTAGACATTTCGCAGTGACCGTTGTCGTGATCTGGCGATGTCTAACAATGGATGCGAGACCTTGTACGCTCAGAACTTAACCAATTTATATTGTAAGCAGATTTTTGTGATCTACAAATCAGTTTGATTAGTCATTCCCGTAAAACTCAGCTAGTGCCATTCGAAGGTGGAATGTTGAGCTGGCATTAACAAGTACTTATTAAAAATAGTAAATTTACTTTATAACAATTGTTTTAGTACTCTAGTTGCGAGACGAGTATAGCTGCATAGGAGGCCATCTTTTGGAGAGTTTGATTGAAGTTTAGAGCGTAAACCGTGTACATCAATATCATGAGACGAATTAATCTTATGAATGTGGTCAAAACGTTTAAGGCAAAGTTACGACATGCTGAATATGGAAACGTAATCAGAGTGGACGATATGGTAATCAGAGTTCGCGATACACAGCATAATTCACTAATGCAATGGCAACGACGGAACTGCATGAATATTGTGATGCCTCGAGCGACGAACAGACGTTCGAACTACCTTGGGCGCCGCCAGGAATTCCCAGTCTACGACTGTGACAAATCCAGAAGGAATTCCACGCGCGAGACATAACAAAGGCGTCGAGGAATTGAGGAACGTTACAATGACTGATGCACACGTCGCAGGCGGGATTCTATCCACAATCGTGGGATTCACCTCGCACGTGACTCAACTCGACAAATCACGCGAAGTGCACGAGACGAACTAATTAGACTGACGACGTGGAACAAGATACACGAGGAGGAGACGGTTGTAGGCGAAAAAGAAGCTTTCAAGCTCTCGGAAAGAGAGATGTATTTGACATTCGTCAGGGAACACTTTAGAATCCCGAAGTAAAAAGACGTAGTCGGGAGTTCACGGCAAGAGCAATGAGATTCTCGTAGTATAAACTGAGAAACGCGAAAACCGTCAGTAGCAGGGAGACGTACACATAATCTCGGTGAGAGTACTAAGCGCGGCAGAGTGCAATAACGCTAACGATCTGGGGTTAAACGGCCGAGTCGAAAGTGAGCGGTGTGGGTCAGTGACGAGGGCTTTGGTGGAGCCCACGAACGGAAAGCCAGGGTGATGAGCAGCCGACGGCAGGGCCGGATTTACCTAACAAGCCAAAAGCAATGCAGTTGCTGGGGGCCCCCATTAACCAGGGGCCCCGCGTTTCGGAAAATACGCCATACCATATTTTTTTTGTCTTGAAATAATGTTAATCAAGTATCTACTGTGTAACAAAATGTACAAATTCAATATCCTGAGTACGGAGCATGATAAATTGAGAAAATCTTCGTTTTGAAGACATCATCGACCAATTTTCTGCAGTGAAAGAAGCAGAAAAAAATTATGTAAAATGTATTTATGTAAAAAAGTGTAACACAAGTAAAAAATTTCTATAAAAATTATCAGTTTTCATTTGTATCTGTACAGAAAGTACTTGTAATATAATACATTTTTTATTTAATAAAGATGGAGCTATTTTTTCGGGTGGAGGGGGGGGGGGCAACACAATTTTGTGCTTGGGGCCCCCCACTACTTAAATCCGGCCCTGGCCGACGGCGAGGGTGCCTCCACAGGTGGGAGGGGCTGTAGATCTCCGAAGAACGTGGTGGCGCCTCCAGATGGAAGGACAGCAGCTCTGCGTCCGTGTAAAATATCTGATTCCGCGCGCTTTGCGATGAATAAAAGTGCTTATATCACGTCTCATTGTATCATCTAAAAACAAGGTAAGTCACCTTACGTATCTCTAAAATAACCCGCCCCGATTCAAGCTAGTCTCGAATCCTTTTGTGCGTGAGTCGCTGCTGGCGGAGCTCTCCGCACAAAGAGGATCGCTCAAAAGCTAGACCACGGACAGGTAAATCGCGGCAGGTAGGTGGCAAGCAGGTCAGCGGTTTCAATTGGCGCCCGAATAGGGACCTCAGCGACTCCAATCGGCGTCCGAACACGGACATGCTACAGCTTGGCGGTTGGCCTACAATGTATGTATAGCGATTTTGAAGGACAGGAGAAGCCCTTGCCAGGAGTACAAAACTCATCTCCAAAGAAACAGGGGCCTTAAAATACGCGTATAAACCATCTCCATTCAAAATGGCATAGCCCATTGCTTTACAAGATATAGATAACATAAAGATCATTTATGAAGACGGGGATTTAACACTTACAGCAAGCTTATGAGGTTTCTGGTAGTCTCTTAATCAAATCGCACGTTAATATTTGATTAAGAGACTTCCAGGAGGCAAGCTCATGGGAAACAGGCACAATTAAAAAATTTACAGGAGAATGTAATTTCCTCACGGAATATCGTACTGATGTTCACTATTGGCATCTGAAAAAGTGGGTACTTGAAGCATATAAAAATATGGCTTGGACAAATTCACAGCTTCGATTTCCTTTATCAAAGTTAAGACTGAATGTAGCGTTTCGTGCATATTACTCAGTCACCCGTTAACATATAAGATCATGGAATTCGACATAAGCTACAACCATTTATATGGGAACGGGGGTGTGGACAAAAAAATGTTTGAAACGGTGACAAAAAAAATTATTACAAAATGTCAATATCAACACATTCTCAGTGGAATGAAACTACTGGTGTGTTGTAGTCTGCATTGCTCTTCATACAGCTGTACAAATGATGTAGCTCTGCCAGCTAGTGGCAGACTACCTAACAAGTTTCTATTCGTTTTCAAGTAACACAATGCATTTTGGCCCAAATGTTTCAAGAAAACTTAATACATCATGTTCTCGAAACATTCATGAGGCGGCAAGCGAAAGAGGAAAAATGCGAAAGAGCATTTGAAAATATTCCATAGCTAAAAAATTTATTGTCAAAAGGTCATTAAGGTCCTACTCTTTTAGGTGAACGTTTTCCGCCCAAGGATGTTACGTTCAAAATACTACCACCGAAGACAAAATATTGCGAACCGCTTAATGTGCACTTTAGGCAATATAAGCTCTACGTAACGATGGTTGATGTTTTAAGTGTGTAATGTGTGGCTACAAGAAGCACAATTGTCATATCATCCATTCTGTGCTACACAATCAACTTTTCGTACTGACGTACAAGCTTATGTTCCTATATGCTTGTCAAAAGGCATATTGTATACAAGGATATGGGATGTTATGAGATTGAAAAACCAACATTCCGGTTTGAAACAGTTTATTACGGAATTATTTACGAGGGTTGGGCATAAGTTATGGTAACGATATTGTTCTTGTGAAAACACGAGCGAGGGTGGAAAATATGAAATACTCGTATCCACATGAAAGGACGATGTACTGTGCATGGACATTTAACAACACACCAAACCTGAGTTTCTCACATTTATTAAGGTATTCGTAATGACAATTCTGATTTCATGTTTCAAAGCATTATTGCACGGAGTTGACAACATTCAAGAAGTATTACATAAGCGTTAGGCAGGGCCGGATTTACGTAGTGCGGGGCCCCAAGCACAAAATTGTGTCCCCCCCCCCCCGAAAAATAGCTCCATCTTTATTAAATAAAAAATGTATAACAGTACAAGTACTTTAATACATTTTATTAATTAATTTACTAATTTTTTATTTGGTCTATATAGTCCTCCTCTTTTGTCCTAAGGGCCACCATAGCTGTTAATTTGAGCATGAAAAATTTTGAGGTTTGCATAAAAAATTTACATATTCAGTTATAAGTAAAGGAAATAAAGTATAGTTAATATTAGACTAATTTAACATATAAAAAATATTTTTTTAAGAAGTGTTTTGAAACTGTACATTTTGTTACACAGTAGACTACTTGATTAACAATTATTTCACAAACATAAAAAAATGGTATGCGTATTTTTCCGAAACGCGGAGCCCCTGGTGATTTACCTACAAGCAAAACAAGCAACTGCTTGTTTTGCTTGTAGGTAAATCCGGCCCTGGCGTATAGGCGGATGCTCATTACCGCACGTGTCACATCTGTCGTCATGTGCGTTGCTGGTTGGTTGTTACGTGCCCTCGCAGAAATTCTCCCGCCCGTCTCACGACTGTCCGATATGGATTCCCGTTAATTCGCTGTGACATTCTCGGGAATTTCGCCCAAGGAGAACGGCTATCCTGGTTTATGAGCGCTGCTCGAAACGAGTGACCTTTATCTCGCGCGGCGGTAGTCAAGCAAATTATTTCACATTGCTCTCTGCGATTGGCTGAATAGCAGTATTGGTTTACGGCATAATTACTCATGCCGTTAACGAACGATTTCTTGCAATCAAAATGTCATTTATAATACTGCTACAAAAATGCAATTGTGTGGGTTTTTGATATTGGACTACTCGAATGCGGAAATGATGTTGAATGTGAAAAAGTGGCTTTTGTCTGATGTGCATATTGTTCTGTTCAACTTTGCTCTGACCACTTCACTGAAATCCCACACCTGCACTATGAAAACTGGAGAATATGCAGCACTATTAGACAAGTAGTAAAATTTGTTTCTCAGATATTGTCATTATTGTAAACGGAGGAAAACGTGTCTAATATTGTCCCGGCGTTTGAAATACACGTTATATTGTTCATATTACTATATCGCATTTTATTTCTTCGCGATTCTAAAATCACTCTTTTAAACATTGAAAATGTAATCATTGTCTTTCGTGATAAAACCTGCATTTTTGCATGAGAATGACTAATCCTACTGTTTTTAGGTCGACTCACGTACATCCTAAGCGCATTTTCGTGTGGTTCTGAGCATTTGAGGTCACGCACATACACTTAAGTCGCAAATACCGAAAAACATTAAGCGAGAGTTTTCCATTATGGTCCACAATGGAGGACCATTCTAGACCCGTCAAGAGAGTTGAGTTTGAGAACAATAGGTGCATGTACATTCTTGACTATCGGGATGAGCCGCGTCTCCGCCAATTGGACTGATGTTTCAGCCATTTTGCTGTGGCCTTCTTCAGAACTATACTTCTGGCATAGCTAGCTGCTGGTCAGCAGTACAGCTCCGAAGAATGCCACAGCAAGGTGGCAAAAACGTCAGCCCAATTGACCGAGACGCGGCTCATCCCGGATAGCCAAGAATATATTGACTCCGGCCGCGGAAGCCTACAAACGCATAGAGCAATAGGTGAATTACGGTCCACGATGCCACGGAGAAGAGGGTAGCCTACTCAGTGTATATCTTCGAGATAGTTGATGATTCTCATAGAGCAGAATCTTGAATCATCGACTGTGCAAATCCGTAGCTATCGGGCAGCTGGTAGTGTAGCGTCAGAGGCTTGGCTTCCTGCTCAGAGAGAAGCGCCTGCAATGTAGGGACATGAGGGTATCTAAAAATATCCACCCTAACAGAGCGCCTCAACAGACCAGAGTGACTTCAAAGCGGGCGGCTGGTGGCGCGTGCAAGGAACAGTGTCGTTTAGACGTCTCACAGCAGCGCGTGGGAAGGAGATGACGAGGTCACGTGATAAGGCCCTTCATAAGGGCGTGTCGCGGTGCCCTGCATTGGGTAACGAATTCTGTTCCCTCGCAGCTAGTCAGCAACTCTTTGTCCGCCCAGGCGGGCGCGGAGTGCTGTGTGCACGAGGTGGTGTTCCAAATTGTTCTCTACCACTGCAGGGCAGATAGTGTATGTGCCGAGGCACGTCAGATGCCGAGTTGCGAATTGGCCTAGTTGGCTAGTCGCCGGCACAGCCGTAAGGTATGTGAAGAAGAGGCTGAAGTTCGTTAGCTTCGGCAAACGCCTAATGAGGACCTGTAGATACTGTAAATATTTATGTAAAATAAATTGTATATAGCCCACTCGTGTTTGTTTCCTTGTTGAGTACATCTCACGACGTAACAGTATATTACATTTTGCAGGTCATTTCCGGATGGAGTGTATAGCTTACAATTCTTAGAGGGGGAAGATATACTCTCAGGGATACGTTTTGGACATTTGTTTCGAGTGTGCTATTCATCAGACAGAAGCTCACGAAGATAGCAGCGCCATTGTGAGTTCGTAGGCCGTCGTCATCAAACTTGTAAGAGATGTCTTCGCGAACCAACGACGCGAAGGATATGACAATATATGGGTTTACTGGGGGCTTGTGTATTCCAGTAAAATGCGAGAAATGTTATTTTAATTTTAAAGTGGGCGCGGATACCGCTTTCTTATAAGACAAGAGAGCCATAGAGATCGATTTACTTCTTGGATATCGGTGAACTGGATCACGAATCATTGTAATTGGATATCCGCCTTATCGAGGTAACGCTTTCAAGGCGGTTGACGTCATGACTTTTTTTTTGTCCAAGGAATGGCCCGGGTAGGGACAGGTTGTTTTGAGAAATCTATTTCTGATCTCTTTAAAATCAGGACAGTGAACGTGCTGGATACGGGTAGTTCATCGATGATTATTTGGCATGTTGCGTAACTAACAGAAGTGTTACGAATTTTCGACGGTGGTAAGGCAGCTCGAGTTCGACAGTCCTACGTTACTGGCAACGATATCGGACCTGCAGGGTTTGTGTAATTGAGTCGCCGTGCCTCGCTAGAGGACACCTCTGAGATCCTGACCATACGTCTTCTTTAAATAGGGACACTGGAGGAGTGACAAGCAGAAGAGTTAATAGACTGTATTTGTTATTTACATTTGGATTCGTGTAAATTCTTATCTCATTCTACACAGTGGAGACTGCTCATATCGTAGTTGCTCGTGCCTAAACTGGCGCCGAATATTATAAAATCACGTCGAAAGATGGAAAATGCCACAAATTATTAAAATTTTCAGGCATAAAAGAACGTTTAAATGTTAGAATCAGCTTGGAACGGCACCCCGTTCACTGGTCCGTGGATCCTCTGGATTTCAGTCACGCCTTCGGGATCGAAAAAAGATTAAGACCAGTTTCAACTGAGAATTTGTTCGTCAGAATGTTAAAAAAAAATGTGCCGTTGCGTTTACGAACCACAGCCTAAAACTTTCCGAATTATTTGATTTTCTTAGCAATCTTTATTAAAAATCACATGGATCTTCTTCCTCATGGGACATTAAAAAAAGAGTGGTAAGCATGGCACATACTTTCTCGCGTAAATTGTAACGGCTCTGTATTATAAAATTAATCTACAAAAGAATTTTTAAGCAGTAAACATTTTTTTCTGCGCCAAGACTTGAACACGAGTCCACTCGCCGTGCTGTTTTACTTCTTTCTAATTGCCTCTCCCAACATTTCCAACATGCAATTTTAGAAATTTCCGAGAGATCCACGAAAATGAGGCCTAAGCCATTATTTTAAGCGTCACTTGTTTGATGACTGGAAAAAATGTAGTAAGGAATTGGAGTATTTTTGAAAAAGTTTTTTTATATATACATGATTACATATATATAATATAATATAATATATATTAATTAATATATATCATATATATATATACAAATTATTTATATTATAATATATATATATATTTATACATTGAATCAGGCAAACTTCAATGAAGTTCTACCTCTCACCCTGCCTGATAGTATACTCAACCATATGTAGGGTCTTGGGAGATGACGTCCCAGTGAGCTAGAACATTCTACATAGAGTGGCGGACCCTATCGTTTCAGCGCTCTTGGTCAACGCTCGACCCAGCCAAGTTTTTTGTAGTAAAAACATAAGAAATGGTGGCGTGCTTTTTGTATCAGATCATATTTATTATTGTCTTTGTGTTTATCTGTATTTAAATTATATTAACGGTTAGAACAATAATATTCACAATGCCTTTAGTATTTTCGGCATATAATGATAAAAATAGAAGCTAACTACAATAACATTTCAACAGCTTCGATTCTTATGACAATTAGTGACGCAGGAAGCAACGTAAATTTAAAATTTCTCATTTCGTTCTCCTAACATTTTATCATTACTTTTTAAATAATTGGTTTTTGGTAGTGAAACACAGAGTAAGAGGATTTAAATTACTCATGGCCCACACCCACACAGCCTTAAACAGCGCCAAACACAATACTAGAATATTCCGTTTCTTTAGAGGGAGATGCTTTGACTGCAGAACACAGGACTTCAATTTGCTGCGCTTCAGCCACTCTGTGTAGTATATTCTAGCTCATTGGAGCATCCCCATCTCTTCATTTCCCTTCTCTCTTTGTAGTTCACCAGGCTGGGACCCTACCTATTGATATCCCTCTGAGGTAGCTGCAGCCCTTCTCAGCTAGATTCTTGATTATTGGCTAGACGCTGCAATGATCAGTGGATTCTTAGTAGAAGAATAGTTAATGATAGAATAGGTAAGGAAATGAATGGTGCATGCTGGGGGAATGCATATTGGCAGGGGAAACCAGAGTAGCCTGAGAAAATCTGTTGTGAACCGTGTCGTGATGGAGCGTATTAGTGGAATGCATATTGGCAGGAAAAACCGGAGAAGCCTGAGAAAACCTGTCGTGAACTCACTTGGTCCACCACAAATTCCACTTGGAATCACTGGGATAAAACCCACCTGTGGTGGAAGGCGTGCGGTCCGACCACAATGCTACTAGCCACCCTGATTTAAATTCGCCACTACAGATTTAAAGAAGAAAAAAGTATTGTGTTGCTGGCTGCCAGTAGAAGCCCAGAGAGAGGCATCCAAGTAGGGTGTTACCTTTTCTTCCTAACAAGAGTTCCTTGTAAAAATTATTGTAAATAGCCATTTTGAAATGTAAACTTATTACATACAAAATTAAAAAAGACAATACTCTACATAAAACATAGAAATTGACAGTGACTCATAGGTTTGATACCATACTGAGGTAAAACAAAATTTTTTAGTTTATGCATGTTAGAGCATTCAAAATAAATAGTTTACTTGCACAAAATACTAATGAAATAATTGTAGGTAAAACGTAATCCGAATTAGAGATTGCTTTCTAAGCAGGCTGTTTAAATTTTATATTATGACCATATTTAATAATATTACCTGAATTGTTTTATCAAACCATCGGTTGGCACCATTGTTCTTGCTACCACAACCATGAACCATTTGACGAGCAGCAATAGATCTTTTATCGAGAGAACCAAAGTTTGGATTTGGATCGTCCAAGCACACCAGAAACAAAGATTTCTGTATAGTTTCCAAACTGCACACATTTTTCGGATCTGAAATAATTTAAATATTCTAAAATTGAAAAATATGGTACTACCAAGTTTTATACAAATAGATTCATTTACCTTTAATCAGCTCTTGGTATGCTTTTCCCCAATTATCTCTCTGATCAGAAGTCAAAATGCCAATTGGTACAGCAGGTCTCACTGGACCACTCACTATTTCACATAGCTGCTCCCTTATCTGGTCCTCACTAAGCGGCTCTCCATTTTCTCCATAAACAGCGACTTCAAAAAACTACCAAATCCAAAGAACAAAAAGTGAAACATTATGTATTTCACACAAATACTGTGCAGACTCATCATTAGGAAACGTACGTGATTCTTGTATGCCACTACTACATGTTTTGGTGGATTACAAGGATCTGCATGTTGTAAGCTATCACGTGGAATTCCTGGAATCCGGCAAGTGCCCATAATTTTTGAATATTGTGACATGTCCAAAGGATCCTTACCCATTCTTTCAAGAGGTAATTTATTACTGAAACATGTACAAATAAATGAACACCTGTTTTTTCAAAAATGTGGTTATTATTAAATTAGATTTAACTCACTTATCTATTAGGCATTTGAAGTCTACTGCTCCAGAAATAACTCTGGCCGCCAAAGTAAGCTGCTCATCTTGATTACAAACTTTCTGATGCGGGAAAACCAACCCTGGACTTGACCACACCACCACAGGATATCTGAATTCCAAATAAGCTGTCCTCAACCACCAGTCTGCCAACTATAAAAAAAAAAAACTTTAACAGAAAACTTTTCAACAGTCTGATAATTGGTTATGAGCACACATGCCTACTTTGCCAACAACAATAAAAGGGAAAATAAGTATGAAACGGTTTTCAAGCATTTTGCAATAGTTTTATTTGTATCTGTATAATTTTTGCAAATTATAAGCAAATCAATTGTATCGAAACTATCAGTGTAATCCTAAACCTAAAGAGAAACAATATCAGCATAACCAACAAGAATGCCTGGAAATTCAGCTTTGACAAAAGAACCACAAAAGATTAGGATACTTACCTGTGAAAGTATTAGAGACACTACTCAGCTGCATGCACAGTAGGTAAAAGAGGGTTCATAAACATGCACAAGTGCTGAGCAGCACAGTAATAATCAAATGAGAGTTCTAAATGAAGTGGGTATGCAAAAAAAGTGCTTCAGGCACTTTTTCTTCAAAAATGGAAAGTGGAGCGAAATTATGTAATAAATAGGAAACAGATATAGAAGAGAAAGAAGTATGTGCAATTCAGAATGCTTATAAAATAATCACAGGAGGAAGTGTAGAGGCAGAAAGGACAAACATCACTGGCAATTTTGAAAAGAGAACCTAGAAGGAGTGCAGTATTTGAACAATCAACAAGGCCAGGACTTCCTCAAACAGCATTAAATACTTAATAAACTATTTTATACATGAAAGCAGAAAAATGCTATTGAAGCGGCACACACAGTACCTCAAACAGATTATTATACAGATCATATCAGTCTAATTAGAGTTAGTGGTCCTACGACAGCACATATTTTCTGATAAATCATTGGTGTCAGTAATGTAATAATTTTGATCTTCTTTTTTTAATTTTATTTATTTTATTTTATTTTTTTATTTCATTTTTTTATTTTATTTTATTATTTTATTTTATTTTTTTATTTTTATTTTTTTAAATATTTTATAAACTCCTAACCACATAAAATGCAGGATTAGGAAAAAATATGTATCTTTCATTTTTCCAGTCATCCATTATAATGGATTAATCAACAACTAACTAAAACAATTTTCAAATCAGATATGTAGGGAACCTGTGAACAAAATGCCACAACTTTTTGCGTATTATTATTTAACATTTCCAAACTTTTAATGTGCTTTCCTGTACAATTTCCTCATATTCAAATAGAACCTTGTCATTCTGAAGCCACACCATCTCTTTGAACAAGGAGGTGGTACAAAGTCACCCATCCCCAGCTACTGGCTTGGAAACTATGGATAATACATTCATAAATAAATAATTCAATATAATGAAAACAAATAGCATTTACAGAGAGAAAATTTCTACTTGGTGGAAAAAAAATCCTTGACGGTCACATTGAAAAATTAGTAACTTTTGACACTAAGATACGTGCTTTAACTTTATAATGAAAAGAATGGAGAAATGTGTTGATGTTAAAATACCAGATGGTGGGTAATACAGAGAAAATTCTAAGGGAAAGTATCGTCCAAGATGAGTAAAAGATTTGGAACCAACTGGAATAAATTTCAGGAACCAACTAAAACTGCTCCTGACTCAACACAGTGGAGACCTTGCACTCAAATAGCCAATGAAAAACAAAGCAACAATTTGAAGAAGTGAAGACAATAGGAAGAAGTAACCAAATGTCTCCCCACGAGCTGCATGAACTCTGAGGGAGTAGAGCTTTCATTACAATTGTGTTAAATTTAAATCATAAATAATATTTTAACCATTAAGATTAAATACTACACTTTTCAAAGTCATTATGTCATACCATTTAGCTAATAAATTCTTATCTTAATATTGTCAGGAAAATCTCATGACATTGAAAATTTTAGATACAAAATAATCAAAATTTGAACAGCCCAAAGTTAAACCAAAAAAGCTTCAGTGTTAAAGTCTTTTCAAAGTTTCAAATATGCAAAACGCCATTTATATACTTACCATGCCTCGTATCCAATGTTATCACAAAATAGAGAAAAGACACTATTAATAATAATTCACATAGTACGTAGCCCCATTGCAGAATTTATGTGGAGCTAATCATTTAACGTTTACAAGAATATGTTTTTTTTAAAATAATATTTCAAATACTACTAATTTGTCATTCTCCAGGACAGGATAAAAAGGATGAAATATGTGATTTGCCAATTAGCTGACAATAAGGATATTTTTGGAGATGTTTTTTCACAACAATTCAATAATCAAGTTACTAAGAAAAATCACATAACATCACAAGTCTACACTACTGGCTCTAGAACAAAGCAAAATATTATTTGTAATGCTTACATAAAATTATAACAATTATATTGCCACTTATATGCCATTAAATATTTTCTGAGGTCCATTGCATTGTGAGTTTAATTCAAAGATGACCATCAGAATATCATAGAAGAGTAAAATGGCCTCAATCATACAAATATTTATAAAAAAAAATAAAAAAAATGGGGTCTTCTAAAGAAAATTTCTTTTTCAGGTATTTTTTACACAACTTAATTCATATTTTAAGAAATCTTTCAATATTTTAAGAAATCTTCAATATTTTGAAAAAAATTGTTCCCGACATCCATGCAATAGAAATCTTTTAAATTTTTGGTACTTATAACAAAGACATCTTTCATTAATCTTGTGATGTTTTGGGTCTCCTAGCAGCTGAAGTTGTCTGTTGTTTTGTTTTACATTTTTAGTTGGATGTTTTGTGTTTAATATATTTTTTAATTTTTTAAACATAAAAGCACCCAGGGAAATATCTAACAAATGAAAAAATTTGGAAGTTTAATATTTTGTTTACAAAAGACACTTACTTTCATAGTAAAAGTTCTGTATTTGTAAGTATACAATTAAAAAAAGAGAGATTCCTAAGGCGGCCTTAAAATATAAACCACTTGAACAGAGAGATATAGGAAAACTAAGAAAGAAGTGGATGCAGGAACACCTGGATATTTTAGGTATACCGGTTAACCAGGTACACGCCCCCTGGCCTTTCATCCTACAGTTCATAATGATGTTGATGACAATTATAAAACGGATATTGGTACTACAGTAGAGGACAAGAGAGTTTTATGAAAAAAGAGATTTCAGTAGACCTATTCAAATGATGATAGTACTGAACTCTTATTTTAAAACATTAATTCAGATAAACAAATTACACTACATAGAACTATCCACATTCTTGCAATTCTATTAGTTCTTGCAGAACTATCCACATTCAATGAATGTATAAGCACGAAGCATGTGCATGGGATTCCCAATAATTTTTAAACAAAATATTTGTAAGCATTTGATTTTGCAGCAATATGAAATTTGAATGTTTGACATCAGAATGGTACCACTTCTCAATAAAGTGAAAATAATGAAGAAAAACTTCATTTAAAAATAATATCTAGCTTTAATAATTAAGGTTTAGGAGAGTTTGGGGAAAATATTGACATTTTTGAAAAAGTTTCTTTCCAATTCATAGGGATTTGTGTTCAGACAGACCAACCAAAAAATATTTACTTCAGCAAACATCCTGTGCACTTTGTGAATTTCCATTACAAATTTGAAAAAAGTAAATGAGTTCATTGAAATATCAAATACTAGGAGGTCAAGACATAAGCAATTATCTTATCAATACAACCATAACAAATGAAAATCTACCATTTACTTTACAGTATAGTGCACTGCAGAAATAGAGAAACTGAAAAAACGAGGAACTCCAATAGCTAGGCATGCAGACATTTTTTTCTCTCCGAGCTAAAGTTGCTGCAGAGCCAGGTCACAGGCTTCCATGTGCCTAAGCAAGCAATGTTTGTTAGCATGACAGAGCTCAGGAGAATAAAGAAACAAGACAGCAGGGCAGTAATAGATGGGGGTCCCTTATTTGAAACAAAAGCTCCCTCACTAAATCTCATGAATTATTCTTTTATTATAAATATATTTGTTTTAAATTGTAGTTCTACTTCATCTACTTAGAGTATAACTTTCAATTTCTTCAAACAATTATCTTTAAGAAAAGAAGTTTTATAAACAGTTTTATAATTATATTTTATCAATTTATTTATATTAAAAAATTATGATAAACTTTTTTCATAAAATTTCTGACCATGCACAACAAGCATTACTGCAGTTAATTTGAATTAGAAGTAAATAGGTATTTTTTTTTTTTCATTTTGAATAAATTAATTCAGGACCTTGGCAAGTTGCCCCCATGTATGACGATTTTAATGTAATAAGTCTATAAAGTTCAGTCTTAAATATATCTAACTACCCAGTTCCTTGTTGTTTTGGCTTTCTCCTCCAATAACTTCTGAAGTTTTGGACCACATCCTCCTGCAGCTGAAAACTGTTTGACCAAATCTTGAGTAGTTTGAAATTCTTCAGGAGTCACAAGGGGTCTTGCAGATCTGAAAATCAATTTTTTTTTATCAAGAGAAATCACAAACATTCCTAGTACTAATTCTCATAAAACTTTGCATTCAAAATTACGTGAAATATTAAACTAATTATGGCATTAATTGAATAGAAAATAGATAAATGTATTTTCAATTAAAATTTTGAACATATAGACCATTACTAGTCTTTACGGCTCCACTGACAAGTTTCAATTCATTTTATGCCAAGAGTAAGAAAATTTGTTGAACAAAACGTTTTACCTTAGAAACTTATCCAATGTCACTTGTAATGGGGGTACAGGAAGAGGTGGCAGATCAGATTGTGAAGATAATAGCCGCGGATGTAGTGCATGTTGATATCCTACTGTCGCCCGTAAAACTGATGAACTATTTACATTCCATAAATTTTTGGAAAATGTAAATAACGCCTACGACATGACAGGACAATTCGTTGGTTATGCAATAATTTATTAATACAGTTAAGTTCAATTATAGAAGGGTTCAGAGAGTAACATGAACCCCGAGTTCGACATGCAATGAAAATTATCAACAAATTATTATTTAAAGTATTTTCTACCTGGCCTCGGGAGGCATTGATCGGTCCCATTAACTTCAACATTGCTTCGTCACTTGGACCTGAAAAGAAAATCAGAACATTATATCTAATAAAAGGTTAAAATATATCCAGTCCTGAATATTGAAATGCCAAAAGTTCACATAATATATTTCTGAAATATTACTTCGGGTAAGATATCCACAATATTTCCTTCCTCTTAATACTAATCGAGGTAGTTTAGGGCAATCTTCTCAAGCTTAAGACAAGATTTCGTCACATTGTCTATTCCTCACGTCTGCCCTCGTTACGTTTACTGTCAATAGGGGCAGATGGAGACGAAGAATTCATTTAATAAGAACTTGGCACGCGTCCAATGCCGTCAGGCGTACAGCTGCGAGCGTTCCAAACGCAGCTCAGACGTATGGGTATGATTCCGAGTTGGTTCGGCATGTATCATGCAGAGAGTGTATTATATGGTATCGTGCGTCACGAAGGGCCGTATTCAACACTGTACCTTGAGCGACCTTGTGTTATGACAAAAGTGTTACTGTCTAGCCAAAAGGATAATACCCAAGATAATACCGCCAGTCGAGGTTCATGTCTCATTGTGACCATACGACTTTGACCTCGTAGTGTCATCTTTGTACACAAATGACAGGTCAGACCGCGCGCACTTACAAAGCAATAGGTTGTCATGGATACTTATCAGTTCGTTGATGGTAACTTTTCCTGCTGACGTTGCATATTTAATTCCAATAATTTTTTTCTTGAAAGATTTACAGAGTCGGTCACTTAAATTTTGCTACCATCTTCTGTCATTCAGTCCATCGCTGTGTCAAAATCACGTGCGTTCGTTTCCTTACTGTCAAATGTTTGTTTTGTACAAGGATCTTCATACCTACTTAGTATTGACCGTGAAATTAAAGCTAACATGAGCTTACCCATGTTCTTGCGGCAGATGTGTAATGCCAAGTGGCCAGGTGGCAGAGGGAAACCTCATGTACCGTTAACCGGTCCCCGAGAGCAATATTCCACGTCACCTAGCGAACCTTGAACCAGTTTCTTCTTGGACAAGATAATGTCAACGCAATACTATCAGCTTTCATTTTATCGTTTGGTTTTCAGTTAAACTAATCCCTATTATGTAAACCGTTATCTTTATATATATGTAAATCTGTTAGCAGTCCTACTCTTGAAATTTTATTATTCTTGATTTGACATTTGCACACTTAAGTTTATAGGTATTGAATTACCAATTGATCCTCAGAGGGTTTGAAGGTGGTGGTAAGTGAAGAGTTAAGAAAATTGTGATCTTTCCTATCTAGACTTTAAAGCATTTAATGGCAGATTTATGTAAGGCAGAGGAAGAAACCTACATGTAGGACAAGGTAGGGCATATTAATATATTTATAAAAGGGATAGATATCAATTAAGAGGCTCTTAAAATACAAAGTATCTTTATATTCTTTACTTGGTGACAAGCCTCCAAATAAAACATTGATGACAAGATATGTTATGCTCCTGGAAACTATCACTTAAAATACCAAATCCATTTAACCACTCCACATAATTTAAATACAAATTTAACAATGGTAAATACTACTCCATGATCAGTAACATACCTCTCACCAATACAAAAATCAATTTAATGAACTCGCTCAAATCTGCTGGAGTAAATGGAATGAAAAACAATGGAAATTTATTATTGTACCAAATGTTATGTGGAGAAAAATTAAACAAACACAAAACTACAAAACAATATTTTTAGTATTCCAATTCAATAAAATACAATGAAATTCAGGTGTCGAGTACAAAAAATTCCCAATGTACTCTTAATATACAGTGAAAAGCATTGACATTCACTTTATTCTTGCTTGCTTGAAGACAAATTTCAAAACAGCGATTTCTCTAAAAATGTTCAAAATCAGACCATCATTAGATTAGATTAATGACAAGAGTACAGCTCAACTCTTGGCAACTAGTATTCATTCAGTCCCTCCTGTTACCACAATATTGAGAATAACATAGCATTCAAAACTGCACACTGTCCAAAATTTTTTTTCAGTTTTGCAAACTGTTCACAATTACAATTCTTCTTTCTTAGGTTTGCCCTTGCGGTCCCAGCCCTTCAGTTCACTAGTAGCTTGTTTAGCAATGTACTTGATGAAATCTTCCAGTTCTCGACCACCCTGAAAAGAAAAAAAATAAATAAAACAAGATTCAAAACAAAAATGTAAGTGAAAAAACAAAAGAGAAAACACTTGCCTCATATCGGACAGGGTTAATCTTATCATTCTTTGGAGCCCAGTAGAGTGTTGGGAAGCCTCGAACATCGAAAGGTGAAGGAACATCATTGGCAGTGGCATCCATCTTCACAATGGCTACCTCTTCATCCTTCAACTGTAAAATAGATGCATTTAAATTAAAGAAGTGTTATACGCTGTTGAAACTCATATGAGCTAATATAAGGGATTTCCCTATGAAGACAACATATTCCACACGTTTTTAAACACTCAAAGTTTTATTACAATGACAGTTGTTGATCATTTCCAGAATATTAATGATTTAAGATAAGAATGTACACTAAATGGTTATCACAACCAAAGTGACTAATACAAAATCATTGTTACTCACCTTCTCACCCAGCTCGTCAAATACAGGAGCCAACTTTTTACAATGACCACACCAAGGGGCATAAAATTCAATGAGTGTATCCTTGTTATTGTTGGTAACAACTTCTTCAAAATTTTTGGCAACCGCTACAGTAACTGGCCCACTGTTGTCCTCTGGAACAGCTTCAGATTTCAGATATGGCTCCAATTTCCCGGCTTTCAATTGTGTCAGAAAGTTTTCGAAGGTCTCCACCCTGAATGATGACAAATGCTTTAAATACATTTCACAAAACGATAAAATATTGTAACTAGCTCAAGCAAATCAAGAACTTACGAAAATTCGTCCTTCATGATGAATTTCTGATTCTTTTCATCTCGTGCGAAAATCAAAGGTTTGTCACCTTTGACATAATCATAACCATATTCATTCAATTCATGCTGGAAGTCATCTTTAGAGCTGACTGCAAACGTAAAGCTAGAAGCAAATCCTTTAGCAACCTTCAAAATGCGGTTGCGCCAATAATTAGTTCCTGAAATTTACAATACATAAATTATTTCCAATATGTCAACTAACATGAAACATTCAGAATTTTCACATTTCCATAGTTACATCACAAAGTAAACAATAGTCATGATCAAACTAACAACAATACCACTTTATTGTTTGTTCAATTATAATTCATGTGCTGGCATAAGGATCCTATCAGAATTGTTCCTCTTACCAATTTAATCAAGCTCAATTAGTTGAAGTATACCAAAGAAAACAAGTTTAAAAATGCATGGAAAATTTGATAAAAATAAAACTTTTTTAGCAAGCTATGCTTAAATAACAGCTTTTTTTATTTTCTCCTTCCTTCATTTTCCTTTACATCAATTACAATTTCACAAATTTGTTTTAAATTCCACCTGAAGATATCTAGTAAGAATCTTACCTTATTTTTCAGTCAGTGTTTGTTTTTGTTTTGTTCTTTACCCTCCATGACAAATTAAAAACAATATCATCCCAAGCTATACAAAAATTGCACAGGTTTCCCAACCGTGTGTTTGTGTGTTTTTTCAATGATTTTTATACAATTAGCTCTCACTAATATTATCCACTTTTTTTTCCTTCCCCCCTCCTTAAAACAGTTAAAGTGAAATTACATGTCTTTAGGATGGCAAATGGATTCCCAAATTCATTTTCTCAGTGTGTTGACAATTACAACTGAAATTTCAATTTTCTCTTAATTCAATTTGGTAGGCCATGTTAGCCAATTATGTTTATTTTCACAAGAACTTACTTTCAGAGAAAACTTTTTTTTTTATTAAAGCTGTTAAAGAGGCAAAATGATTTTGGACAATGTTCAATAGTTGGCCCTTCAGCATGATGTACATTACATAAATGATAGAACATAACATTACACCAAAAAGCATCTACTAATTTATTATTTCTTGCAATTATTTGTAATATTTTTTATTATAATAATCGTTGCACTTAATTGGCAAAATTCATTACTTAGAAATATGTGAGATACATAAAAACATTTCATCTAATACGTAATTTACTTTCCTAATAAAGATATGTGGGCACACACTTTCTTCAGTGTCTCAATCCCTACCCCTCACTCCTTTACGTTTGTTAAATTAAGCATAAATGACAGCAACAAGCATTGCTCACAAAATCCGATTAAGTCATGTAAACTCCCATGCAGTAGAAACCAGTTTACATCAAAAAACAAGCTACAGAATGAACAAAGTCCTTCCTTCGAAATAACTTAACCCCCTAACTCCTTCCTACTTCTATCAAAATTAGGGCTCAATGGATAATACAATGCCTTGTCAAACGTTTTCATTTATTTGATAAGCAACTTTCAATGTCTTAACTATCCACAGTTCTGCCATAAGGTGGACGAAATTTGACATTGTTGTTTTAATTCTCAATTTGCAAATATTTTGTAGCATGAACACAAATCCATTTATTTTTGAAATTATTAAATAAAATTATTCTTTAGTTCTGCTCAGGTGTACAGACTTGCAAAAAGCATGCTTTCGGATATGACTAGTAATTTTCCTGTATTTTTTTCACAAAACTTTTACTGATTATGTGGTAATTATTAAAATGTACATTACACAGTTTTTATTAACTAGTAAGAAAAAACCTACAAATTGTAAAGAAGTACGACATTTAGAATTGGATTGTAGATCTACCAATGGAAAACTCAGTATTTATGGAAATAAAAAAATTGTAAAATTCTTGGATATTTTCATAATAAAAATTAATTTCATAAAAATCTGACCTTCATTTTCTTAAGAAAAAAATTATGACTGATTTTGATTAAAGCTTTTCAAGTATTCTCTTTATATAAGTTGTTAAGAATGGATGTTTTTGGCAATTTATGTGAAACAATCAACATAAAACAACTTTTAAGTGTACTTCTACTGGAGAGTGATTTCACCCCAGCCCATCAAAGTTAAGATAAAAAAATGAAGTTAAAACAATTATGACACACAAAACAGTTTATGGCAACCCATATTACAATGGCATGGAAATATGAAACAGCAATGTGTCGTAGGTCCTTAAAGCCATGTACATATCCCTTCAGGGACACAAACTTAGTACAGACATGTGAAATATGGGGGAAGTTTGGGGGAGGAGGATTAGAGAAGTGGCAAGGGACACGAACATGAATTTTTTTTTAAGCAGAGCAATATTCTACATAATGAGACATTAAACTTTCTTTTACACTTTTGGATATTTAATACTTTTGAATGTCCCACTTCACAGGTTAGGTAATCATAAAAGTGCAGAAACCCGAAATCTACAAAAAATTAAATTAAAGAAAAAGGACAATACTATTAAAGGACTATCTGATTTTCAGTGGAATTAACTCTTAGCAATAGCAGAATAGAGGCAGAACTAGGCCTTTATAGCAGTTACTTCAGAGAATGGCTATTTCAAAATTGGCAATACTATGAAGCAATGTGCAGAAACCACAAGGAAAGTTCTCTTTGCCTAAGAAAACTCAGTTTAAGCCAATGAGAACTATCAGTATTAAAGCTCCAAAAACACGACAAATAGTTTTTCACAAATGTAATTCATCTTACCTTTGGCATTCTTGACGTAGTCAACACTGTAATAAGCAACAACAAGGGGATTTTTGAAGTCATTACTGTTATCACGTTCCCTATGACCCACCAAACCATGGCTAGAATAAAATAAATGTATAAAAAGTTATTACAAAACAAATTAGGAATGATTCTATATTAATTTAATGTTTAAAAGAAACAAAACCATTTCCTTCCACTTAGGACTCTTATACAGGAAAGACAAGACTCTGGTTTATATTTGATCAAATTCACTAAAACTTGACATTATCATGCATAAAATTAGATCAAAATTATTAACCAACTTGTGTATTTATGAATAAAGAAGGAACATTAATTAGTTTGGTACAATTACGTTTTTTAATTAAAAATCACAAACACTAATTTTATGTTAGCAAACTAAAAAAAGGTTACACAAAAATTGAGAAACCACTAGCAGTACTCACTAGTTCTTGTTAATCCACGTTTCAATTTCTTCTTTTTTGGCACCTCCTTCATACTCAACAGTATTAGGTTCAAATTTATTGTGCAAATGCTTGGGTCGGAAGAGAATAATGGAGTCACTGTAATAACAGGAAAAAAAAAGGATTACACCAAAAACATCAGAAGTATGTTTAAATTATGAAGTAAATTTTCAACTCACGTTTCACCCTGTTTTTCCAGAACCTCAGCAGTTGAAGTGTGACCAAATCTAAATTTTTCCCTTAACTTGTCTGCAAGCTTTTGGAATGCACCCTTCAAATCTGACTCAGTCTCAAAAAACCCTACAACTGCTACATCATCTTTGGAAAGGAAGTCTTCAAGGTCGGCTACAGACTTCAATTCTTTTGAACTAGGACCCACTTGTGCCTTCATATATTTAACAATGCCATCTGCAAGAAGAGATGAAGTAATAAATTGGTGTGGCAGGGCATTACATAAAAAAGTAAAAGAAAATATTGTGTTACAGACTTGCTTCTCGGGGTCCGTTGTATTCTGAACTGAATTCGCCGTTTCGGAAAATCTTTAGAGTAGGATACCCTGATACTCCAAACTTATTACAAGTCTCCTTTCCTCCTTCAGTACAATCCACCTACCAAAAAAAAGTGATATGTTACAATTGAAACTGGGACGGCAATATTTATTTTGGTACACGAAATGATATCTTGTCGTTTTTAAAAAGATACTTACTTTGGCAAGAGTGACAGGTGGATCATTTGTTTTAATTATGCCTGCTGCTTTCGCATATTCTGGCTTAAGTTTCTTGCAATGGCCGCACCTAAAACATTACGAATATATTGCAATTTTTTTAAACAGTAGTTCAAATTAATATAAAGTTAAAGAGAAAGGAAATTCTTACCAAGGTGCATAAAACATAACTAGCACAGTTTCATGTTCCGCAATACGTGTTGAAAAATCATCATCTGTGAATTCGAAGACATCGTCCTCTGAACCAAATATTAGCAATGGTAACGAAAAAACAGTCAAAATTAGGAACAGCCTTTGTATCATGTTGGGAGAATAAATCGGAATTCTTCCTCTCAGTATCACCACTTCGCCGTCAACAGGAACCCACAAAGCCGGCGAGGGCGATTGCTGAATTTTGTAAGCTTCGTGTTGTCGTGTGCTGATTGGTCGTGAAAGTTCTCTCTCGAAACGTTAGATTGCGTTCAATGTCCTCCATGCACGGAAGCTCGGAAATACACGTGTAAGTTCCTCACAGGAGTCTAAAGGCCAATGAATCGCTTGCGGCTGTATCGTCTCAGAATTTTGAAACTATTACATAATATTGCACGATATTGCATGTGACTAATGTTGAAACTAGCCAACGATGAATTGAAGCTTAGTACCGACGATCTGTAATAATAATAATAATAATAATTATTATTATTATATAATTATTGGTATATATACATGGTGTTAGCTCATCTCAGTGATGGCCCATGGGGAGTACCTGATGTAACCTGAAAATATCGAAATCAAAAGTTCTGAGCTCTGCAGTCTTTCTAATCTGTGTGTACTAGATTCACTCAAGTATTTGTACACTACTTAAAGTTTACTTACCTAGAAAATGCTAATTGTAAACTCTATTCAGAAATTGATTTTTCCCCGGGTCTCATTCATGGGAACTATGGACAGAATTTCGCCAAGTAACGTGAAAGGTCTATGGAAATATTCTCGCACGTGTACTATTTTGCCTCATATTCAATGTAGTCGTCCGTGGTGTAGTTTACATCCAATTTGTTGGAAATGTGGAAACGGCAATAATTCAGTAATGTTTTGCAAGAACTGTAACGCCTTACAAAAACCAAATAAGAATATTAATTATTATGATATATTAGGCATAGACAGCACATTTGATTTAGATACGAATGACTTGACAAAAAAATATCGAAAATTACAAAGCATCCTTCATCCAGACAAATATGCTAGTTCTTCTGAGGTAGATAATCACTGCTGTAAACGTAAATAATTGTAATGCTATTCACCATACATCTTCATCATTCGTTGCAGAATGAAAGAAACATATCAGAAGAATACTCCTCTGTTGTCAACAAAGCTTACAGTACCTTACTTCCACCTCTGGCTCGAGGACTGTATTTGCTAGAATTGCAAGGTGTGCATCTAGAAGAAGGAAATGTGCAAACAAACCCTGAATTTCTAATGGAGCTCATGGAACGGAATGAAGAAGTTGACCAAGCTAATAGTGAATCAGAAATTAGAGCTGTGAGTGAAAAGAACAAGAAGATGCTAAATGATCTTATCAAGTAAGGTTCAAAGAATTTAAAAAAATATTATCAATGGATAATTTCACAAAACAAAATGTATTCTTCTGAGAAACATTTTTTATGTCATTTCCTGCCTTTCAGAATCCATTGGTTTACTTAAATTTTTTCTAAATGCTCTTGATGTGAATATTTTAAGATTTATTGAACAGCACAGAGTTGTTGAAACACATCAACTGTATCATGAAAGTAAGTTTTGCAGAATGTGAAATGATCCAACTCTTTTTTCATAATTACAAATAAACTGATGTATATCTTTCGGTGATCCAACCCCAACAAAAATTCCCTCTGAGGAAGCGTTCAATACTCATCAAGTTTGGTTATGTATGTGTGATTCAACAACAGAAGAATGTGTAAAGAACAATATGTAGCTCATTACACGACTAGGAACAATCCAGTCATGGCTCCAATGAAATCTCCTTCACACTTGACTTAAGCACTTCATGAGAATCTTCACGTTCAATTACAAGAAACTAAAAAGGCCAGGTATCATACTTTGGCTCTTTCCAATTCCTTCTGTTCATAGAACAAGAATACAACAATGATGCCTTTGATAGTGGAAACTAGTACATTATTGTACTAAGTAGTGGAAAAACTAGTACATTTTTTCATAATAACATACTGTTATGTCAGATTAACACAACCAGAACAACCAGCCACTCTGTAAGTTAAATCTTAACAGTTCTCTGACCCTTTAGGACAGGAATTCCCCACCTTTTTCTTTCATTGACCCTTTTAAAAAGAATTGTTGGTTCCATCAACCCCCTTGCGTCATTCTGTATCATCTTATAATAATAATAATGAATAATTGCACATAAATTTCTTAAAGATAAACATTTTGCATGCCAATATTTTCATAAACATCTAGATTTTCAGTAATCGAAGATGCTTCAGCTTGCGAGTTTCTAATTTTCATTTTTTGTCTATGGTTGCATAATGTTGAGTGTTTTTTAACTGGCCGTATCATTTCACCAGTGTTCATTGCAGGGGGTTATTTCTTCTAAGATAGAATACAGCTGTGAATAAATAGTTAAAATTTGTTGAATTTTCTAAACACCCTAAGCAATAGTACACTTATATGCCCTGGTGTAGAAAGTTGAAATGAGGCCCCTAACTGCAATAAATGTGAAATTCAAGTTTTTAATTTAATTGGAAGATCTCATAATAAAAGGACTGGTGCAATGGAGAAAATATGCTTGGAGGGCTGTTATAAAGTTCATTTAATATTTTTTGTAATCAGTGAGATCTTGATTATACAAATAAATTGCCAATTCATATTCGACTAGAACCCCAATGTCATTGACTCCCCAGGGGGACATTAGGAACCTCTGATTTTGAACCATAGAAACAAATTGGTTTGATTCTATGATTTTTTTCTTGCAAGGAGACTATTATGGAAAAACATTGAATGACACATGACCAACCAATAGGAACCTCTGATTTTGAACCATAGAAACAAATTAGTTTGATTCTATGATTTTTTTCTTGCAAGGGGACAGTATTATGGAAAAACATTGAAGGGCACATGGCCAACCAATACCACAAATAACAAAATGGATTATTTGCAGTATAATGACCTGCATTTGTAACTAATAAAAAGCATTTTCAAAACACAGGAACATAAGATGGATTCGTAAAAACTGATACCTACAAAGAACTGAACAGTACCTACAAATTATCTAAGATATTAAAATATAGTGATGATTCTATGTTTTATGATATTCAAAATTACATACCTAACAAGTTGGACTTGGAACACAGTGGGCATGGATCGGAAGATGTAATCTTGACGGAAAATATCAATGTTTTTGAAGATGTGTTTTGAATTCACCTACTGTCAAAATAATGGCACAAAAGTGAAGGCATTTGTCTTTAATACTTTCACACAAATTCAGAAACTGCAAAGTGAAGATGTAATTATAATAATGGATAAAAACCTTTGCCAATAATAATGAAATATTTGTACAGAAGGATATTCACCAACTTTTCCTGAGATGCACACTTTTGGTTTCTATTGTTTTTTAAAAAAAACATCAGGATGCATCTTTTGAGACACGAATTAAAAAACAAAGATTTTCAAAACGCTAATTTTTTTAGAGTAAATGTATGAGGAAACATTGTTTTTCTCTTACTGTCCTTAATTCTAATATTTTAAGTTTAAACATTTTGTGCAAAATTCAATTTGAATTTATTACAGTAAACTAGTAAAAAATTGTTTTTGTAGAAAAATTGCGTGAAAATGTTCCTTGATTGCATGGTGTACGTATTTAGAAGTTACTGTATGTTTTCTTTTGCAGAGAAGCTTCTAAAGCTTTCAAAACTGGGAACATTGAAGAGGCCAAAGAAGTTTTAATTAAAATGAAATATTTTTCTAGCATTGAAGCTAAAATCAAAGTCTTAAAAATAAACAAAGGTTATATGGAGTGAACAATGTAAAAAAAATAATCAATAATTAAACACTATTTTTGAAATAAAATTGAAGTTTATTTTTCAAGCCACGCATGAGCATACATATATGTTGAGCAAGTTTGTTGTGGACCTACGCCCCATATCATTTTATTATTTTGTTTTTCTGGGCATGTGAATTGACATGGTCATTATTCCCATAAGTGTGTACATTATATTTTGTGACGTGGTGGTGGCTCCCCCAATCGAAAATGATATCAGGCACAGATCTACAAGTCAGCTAGTGGGGTTTCATCCTCCAGTTATCTCTACCTGTGAGGCTCAGTCCCCACCCAGGACAAGCTCTAAACGCCTGACTGGTCTTTTGACACGCAGTCTCTTAGTCCTAGTAAGTGTGTGTGTGTGTGTGTGTAAGGGGAGGAAATGGGTCAAGAATGAGGAAGGAAAGGTCTGGCCCATTTGTAGCATTCAGCTCCTGCATTCACCAGGCATTGATTGGAGAAACCAAGGAAAACCGCTAAGAGCAGTCGGCTACTGAAATTCTCCTCCAGACAACGGCTGAATTGGACCAGTGTAACAAAATCTGCCACCATGGGACTCAAAACCTAGGACCTACAGTCAGTTGCTACAGTTGCACCATTGTTGCCCTGAGGTAACTCAGCTGGTCCCCTAATTTTAAAATAATATAAGCAGCTAATTATTATGTTCACGAGCTGGCCTCAGCCTTGCCATTAATAGAAATAATAACTTAATTATTAAGCCAATTAAATACAGACAAGCATTTTAAGAGGCTATAATTTTTACTCAGAATTCATGGATATGTACAAAAGAATGCATTACAGATAAAGAAATAAAAAGAAGAAGAAAAAACAACAACAAATAAGTGCAGACAAACAAATAACTTGAGCTAACATAATGAACCAAAGATAAATTTCAATAATTAAGAACGTAATATATTTACATTGAATATCACTGAAAACTTGAACCCCTCACATTATCCATCAATGGATAAGAACTGTTTCATAGACACGAGAAGCACAGTTGCAAATGGTGTACAATGTAATCAATACAAAATTAATTATACACTATAACAAACATTGTTGCAACTTCCTGCATGTTTGTTTTTGTGTCTTTCAAAATTGGACTGGGCCAGTCTCATATTCGGAAACAAATTTACTTTAGCCTGCATTTCTATTTGCCTTCCAGGTTTCAATCCAGGCACAAATTCTGTTGGTATTATCCTCCAATTGATCCATTGAATCATTTTGCAACACGTTCACTATGTCAGGTTGGTAGGACTGAGCAGCTTCTTCAAGAATAGTTTGAAATATTTCACACTGCACATTGTCTTCTAGTTTCTTTCCACTGTACCCTCTGAAACATTTTCAAAGCAAAGAAAAGAATAAATTATATGCAACTTGTATAATGAAATGCAGGAAGGAATTTGACACATTTAAAACAGAAATTTCATATTTTTTCTAAGCTGTGACAGGCATCTGATCACATTTAATACAAAATATACTAAAGAAAGAGCCAAGAAAGTTTTGTAACATTTTTAAAAAACACCATCAACACAAACCTTAGTAAGGATGCTATTGATGGATAGAGGCAAGACAAAATATTTAGAATCCCACAGATTTAAGAAAAATTGCAGATGCAAATCCATCCTCCACCTTTCTACACATAACCTCCGAACATCACTCTACAATGCATCCTAGGCATGCAAATTAGATATTCATGCCCAATCAGAAACACAAGATATTTCTAGGGCCAGTATCCACCAAGCAAAACCTTTTTACTTTCTCCTATTATTTAGAACAAAATACCATAATGCCACAGGGAAGATTCACAATTTTAACAAAAAAAAACTCATTTTATGTGTCGCTGTTACTGTAAAAGTGGTTCTTCAATAAGTAGTGGTCAGATTCTACAGTTTATGGGTCCTTGATACCCAAAAAGTTTTTTCTTCAAACATCTGTCCAAATCCTTTTCATCAATATTAGATCTTTAAATCATTTGTGTACAATTTGTTCAAAAAAGTTCTTTTTGAGTAATTTTGAGTTAAATTGAAAGAAATTTGTTAGGTTCCACAATCCTTGGTAAATTAAGAAAGAGGTGTGGGTCTGTGTTCAGGCTAGTGGTGGACTAGTGGTCAAGGGGTGCGATTCAGAAGACCAAGCATAGAGGTTCAATTCCTTGGCGAAACAACTAGTAATTTAATTCTCACTCCTTTAAACTTTTTGTAAAGGATAGAGCATTATATCCTAAGTTCAGTGACAGAATGTAATGCCATTAGCATTACACCTTCTACATCTCAAAAATTTAGTAAATAATTTGACTTTGAAAGTTCAGCTTTATTTTACTCCAACTTTGGGAATAGGTAAAAAAATGAAATCAGTATGTAAAAAAAAGTTATTTCTCACCTGCGAACAAGCCTATCATATAATTCTGTGTTGTTGGTTCTCAAAACGAAGACAATGTCGAACCATCTTTCAGGGAAAAAGTCACAGCCATGATAATCCACAATTTTTCCACCTTCTTCCATTTTATCTTCCATTTCATCAAGAACCTGCCCCAAAATAATGATATTAAATATTTCTATATGTATTTACAGGGTTCACATTTCTTTCTTTTCTACTTTACATTATCATACAATTATGTATGTTTTTATTATTTTCATAATTAATAATTTTCTATATATACTATTAATGCTGATTCATGCAGATCAGTTGTATTGTTCACTGTAAACTAAATAAACAATATGGAGCCTCATGATTTAATGACTACAGCTAAAATGTTTACAAGTTAAAATATCAACCAAGTACATGAAATAATGAAACATGAAAAGGTCTTCAACTCTACTCAAAATATCGAAGTTGCTTGCCTTTCACCTAGGATGTCCGAGTTCAATTCCCTGAGAATCTCACATGAACTTTTTCCAACAAAACAAGTTTGCTTGCTTCGCAGGAGCTAGGTCACTCCCTGAAAAGCTTCCTAACCCCAACCCCTATCTTAATTCCTTCCCAATTCTGGCTATTGGCTAGATATACAGGATCACATGTAAAGAGGTGCATACATAGGGAAGCTATCTGGCAGTCCTCTTGACAAGACTTAGGACCCTAAGTACTATTAACGTAATTAACAGAGGATTACTCCAGAAACCCATTCTACACTAAATTCTTGGCATAAGATAGAACATAGTCACAAAAAAAAGTCACTGAATTAAAAATTTTTTAAAACAAACATGTATGAAAGGAAATTTCATAACATAGGAATAAATGATTAAGTAAAATATAACAAGGCAGAATGGAAGCAAGAAATAACTTTGATACAACTTGCTGAGTGATAACTCATATTCACATCTGCTAGCCTTAACTACTTTTAAAGTGATATTCTGTACATACACAGCTGTAAATATACATTCCACACATTTCATTTTTGGCACGCATCTCCACTGCACAAATTGGTAAAATGCATCCCTACTTCACAAGCTGTTCCCTTCACAACCATAATACTTTAGGTCAAGATCTCATGCCTTAAAAAAACAACTTTGGTTGAAATAACTTCCATAAAATTAGCGAAATTGTGAAAAGTATGAGACGCTGCTCAAGAAATGAGACAATATATTATGCAACTAATTACTATATTACATGAACCCCAATACAATATTCCACAGGTGAAACAGACAATTTGAAAAAGAATTAGCATTCTTAAAAATGTTTTTCTAGAGCGTTGCCCTCTTGTGGCTCTGGAAGATATTCAAATAAACTTAGTCTCTGCACAAACAAAACAACACCTGCACCAAGAGGTTCTACATTGATTCTCTTAAATAATGAATTAAAAATTCTTATCCCATCAACTTTCTGTTCCAAAGACAGTTTATTAGAGCCAAGACAAGCTTAAAAACTGATCCATTTGTGTATATAAAAATACAGAAATAGAACATATTGCGAAAGTATGAAAATCTCCCATCTCTCTCCCTCAACAGGATACCCATTTTCAATACATAGGCACTTATTATGTAACATTTTAAATTGTTATAAAAAGTATTACCCTAACCAATCTGACTAGTCATATTATTGCAATTGTATATACCCAATAAATATAATTGTTTTTATAAAAAATACTTTAAACTACGAATGTTAAGAATCCTTTACTGTTTTTGTGGGCTGGTATTTTGCTAATACAAGGGGATGGAGTGTGTTTAATGGAATGCCAGTATTATTAACCTAACTGTACAGATCAATTGTCAATACAAATCACATCTATTAAAGACAAGCAAAAGTATATTGTTAACAAATGTTATGAACAATGGTGTTGCTAACTTTTTTTGTTAGTAATTTTACTGTGTTTGTAATATTATAATTACCCTTTCTTCATCCAATACGGGACATTTGTACACTTCATCATACTCCTCCAAGCAGTTATTTTCTTTGGCGATTCTACTCACTTCCAACCATTCCATACCAGTTCTTTCTTGTAGTTGAGTACATAGAGTGGATTTACCCACTCCCGGAGTACCTAAAAAATTCATTTATTGCCATAGCACACAATTACAACTTATTGGGTTTTATATTACAGATATATCAGAAGTTGCGGACCAAATAAATAACACAAGAAATACTCACCAGTAACAAGAATATTGGGTAGCATACGATTGGTCATTTTTCGGAATTGAAATTATTTTTATTGGGCAGGATGACAATTGCGTGTGACCTTTCACTTTCTGTAAATACGGAAGTGCAATGGGTAACAAATTGAGGTTATAATTGTAACAAGCAAATTAACTTTTACTAATTAATACAGATGGAATAATAATAATAATAATAATAATAATAATAATAATAATAATAATGATAATTTATTGCTTATAAACCTATGCAGAAATTACGCAAGTCCAGTTTCGTGAAAAGTGTTCATTTTTTAAACATAATAATTAAATAACTTCACTTACAATGAAAGCATGGTAACAATTACAGCTTGGTAAACTAGCATAGTTCTTCCAGTGGCCAGATTATTGCTTTATCTTACAGTATAAATAGTTACATTACATTACAATATGTTTAACTTATAATACGCATTTATTTAAATATTTGAATGTTACTTAGCACATAGTCTGTAGGCCAGCCTTTGTGTCATTTAGATTATCACTAACCTCAAATTAATCCCTGAAAGTTTTTAAATTACTCTACAGCATGGGGAGTAATGTCAGCACGTGGTGAAATAATCCAGAGTAAAGCTCGTGCAAGTGCAGTGCATATATAATCTTCAGTGTATATATTTTCGGGAAATCAAAATGAACTGTTCTGGGCACCTTAAAGAGAAACCAAAATGAAACTTGCGAAAAATGTTACTATCGCATAGACATATATTTTCAAAACTTTCGAGTCAAAAACGACATAGGGTATTTTCATTTCCTTTTGTGTTGGCTACAGTCATGGCCAACATTTCCAGAATTACCCGATGTCGTAATAATATTTTAACGAAGACCAATTCTTCAGGAAAGGAATGTATTGTAGAGTAAATATTGAAGAATTACAGCGGCATCCGGAGCCTTGGGAACTACAAACCTTACAACTAGCCATAATAAATGTTAATAATGCAAATAGTGACTTTTTATTGTTTTATGTTTGCAACAAAAAATGACGATTTCCGGAGAGTCCGCCAACATTTAAACTGTGCTTCGATCGATCGTTTGCGAATGTTTGCAGCGACTTGCCCAGTTATTTCCATAGTTTTACATTTATTTGTTTTGTTTTATTTTTATTTTTCATCTTGAAGTGATTTTTGATTGTTTATTTCAATCTGTTTTAGTTAAGTTAGTTTTAGTAACTTGTTCTAAACTAATTTTGTATGTGTTTTTAAATTGCCTCTCTTTCTATAATTCTTTGATTGACCTATGGCTTTCATACCATTTCACATCCTTTCATATTATACTTGATAGGTTGTGTATTGTTTATACATATTTTAATTTAACTAATGTATGATTTAATTAATTAAATTCGATTAAATTTTCCAGCACTATCCAATAAAAAAGGTTAGAGGTTTTCGAGAAAATGGCATTTGAACATTTCTGAAAATGTGAGATATCATAGTTTTCAGATTTTGTAAGACATATTTTACATGTAAATGCTATCTGATATATAGAAAACAATGTTTGTTTGTTTGCTGATCCGTTCGTTCTTAATGCGCTGACATACCAACCATCCGATTGCGATAAAACTTTGTCTACTTATTGCCTGCACTAATGAGAAGCAGGCAGGAAGGAAATGTGCAAATGCCAGCGAACGTGGACTCGCGTTGATGATTTTTGCTGACCCAAGTGCCTCTGTCCAGGTTCTCTATGCAACGGCACCCTACGCAACCCGCAGCACCCTGAAGTATTGAACCAAGAAGCATCATGAAGTGTCTGCCCTTGTGATTGTGAAATAACGCTCAGGACAGACATGTACAGACAGGGCCGGATTTACCTACAAGCAAAACAAGCAGTTGCTTGGGGGCCCCCATTCACCAGGGGCCTCCGCGGGGGGCCGGTTTTTCCCCGGAAAAAAAAAAAAAAAAATTTTACGCATACATATTTTTTTGGTGCATGATAAGCTGAGAAATCTTCGTTTTGAAGACATCATCGACCAATTTTCTGCAGTGAAGAACAGGAAAAAAAATTATGTAAAATGTATTTAATGTAAAGAAAATGTAACACAAGTAAAAATTTCTATAAAAAATTTATAGTTTTCTTTTGTATCTGTACAGAAAGTACTTGTACTATAATACATTTTTTATTTAAATAAGATGGAGCTATTTTTTCGGGAGAGGGGGGGGGGCAACACACTACTTGTGCTTGGGGCCATCGCACTACTTAAATCCGGTCCTGTGTACAGAGAGACACAGGAGATAGGCTGACATAGACACAGAGGGAGAAACAAATAGAAAGACAGAGAAAGAAAAAGAGAGAGGGAGTCAGAGATAGACATTGACAGTGAAAAAATTGAGAGAGAAAGGGAGTGGGAGGGGGAAAGAGATGGCTAGATGGTAAAACAACATATGGCGGGTTCCGCTGGTTAAGTATAAAACAGACCAATCTTGTAAATATGAATGACGTGAGCGAGATGCCAAAAAATTACTTCTGTATAATTTTTGGAAAAACAAAATATTATAGCAAAATGACGCTTGTCATCTTTTTCAGTGCATTTATTACTATCTTTACCAAAAGTTTAAAGAAATAATTTGGAGCCTTTCTAATAAATTGTTTTTAATCTAATATCGCCGACATTCAAAATTTTACGAAAACTACTATAACTTTCAAAACATATTTACGACGTGAATCGTCTCTTATATTATTTCAGTAGTATACATACCTTTTGCGGCTCTCATACACAACCGATCTTTATAAATGATGTCTCTAAAGAAAGAATTTCACGGATACGAGACAAATTGCGCGATGACTTTAAAAATATGACGGATTTGTTTAAAAAACGCATACAAATAGTTATGTCAAATGCAAACCGCAAAACCCAGTTAGCTATATCGTTCAATAACTCATAAAAAAAATCGTTTTTTTCGCCGCTCTACTTAACTTCCTCTATATATGTATTAGTCCACATATACGTACGTAAACGAGAAAGTAGAAATGTTTGTTTCCCTGATTGGACACATTCGTCGAGTGGGTTTTTTGCTTTGAGACTAACCCTGGGGGCATCCTTAATTTTCAATTACGTGAACTTGTGTAGAGAAAGAAGAATTCGAAAGCCAGGAACTTGAAAATGCCTCGCAAAGTGGGCGAACTGTACCATTATGATATGAAAAAAATACACGTAAAAATATTAATAAAACAGTTTATTCAAATGATTGTACAAAGGTGTGACGGGAGGCTTCCGGCTGTGAGGACTAGCTCGGAGGCCATCCTCCGGGGGGCACCCAGGGGGCCAGGCGCTCCAACCACGCCGGAAACGTGGCCTTGCTCTTAGCCGCGCTCGTGTCTTGGTGGACGCTCTCAGTGGATGCGGGCGTGGGCTCAGCCGCAGGCGTGGATGTGGGCGCTGGCGTGAGCAGCGGCATGGGCACGGGCGCGAGCCTGGGCGCGGGCGTGGGCGCTGGCGGGGGCGTGGGCGCTGCCGCGAGCGTGAGCGTGGGCGCGGGCGTAGGCGTCGGCGCGGCCACGAGCGTGAGCGCGGAAGAGGGCGTTGGCGTGGCCGTGAGCGGAGGCGTGCTGAGACCGCTGCGTGCCCTAAGGTTGAGGCAAGGGCGCAGAGCACCGCGCTGCAGGGACCGCAGGACGTTCTCGTACACGCGCTGGCCGCGAACGCAAGGAGTCGCTAGAAGAAGAAAGCGCCGGCTTGCTACACTACGCTTGCCGCTGCAAAGCTTTGGCTGTAAACAAATTGTTGTAGGAGTAGAGTCGGTGATCGGAGTTGATATTTTGTTAGCAATGCTGTCAAATCAAATCTGTAGTTTATTTACCGATGCAAATAGCTCTTCTATAACTCGTTAGCGAACATTTCTAGGGTTCAAATATTACTAATCTCGCTTCGTTGTTTATTTTATTCATTACTCAACTATGTTAGAACTCGCTGCATAATCAGCTAATTCTCATCTCGCTAGTTTCGCACACTCAGCTCGAGTTCATGTACAATTAATATTTTATGTGTTTGAATTAACTCTCTCATCGGCCACGGAGAGTTCCGACCTGTCGGGCCGCTGAACTCTGTCGAGACACCGCGAACATCTTCCTTCGGAGGGGAAATAAAGCCGGCTGTCCCATGTTAGTAGATTTACTTGCATGTAAAAGTTCCTCAAGGCTAAATGACGCATCTGGGCTAAATTCAAATCGCCTGTTTCTCGCCCAAGAAATACCTTCTTTCTCCGCTAGTTGGTGGTGAAAGGAGCGTAGCGAAATTTGCGTGGTCAGACGGAAGAGAGGGCCTGATGGCCCGAGTCTCGCCACGTAAAATACGGCTTTAATTCGATTCAATTCAATTCAACTTCCCCCTGTCGCCAGCCGCGAGAGCGTGAAACGTCGGCTTCCCTCACTCCCCACCGGTAGACAACTGTACTGCCCTTCCACGCTGAACGCTAAAAGACTGTTGCTCCCAGACTGTAAGGCCGTGCTCTGTGCCGCTCTCGAACACGCATTGTGCGTTTCTCTACAAAATTTACTAGAACCCAGTTAGACTTTTACCAGCTTAATGTATTCCTTCCGAATTTCAAAACAGGCTATTTGCAGACTGGAATCGGAGTCTTCTGGGAATTTCTCTCATCATACGCCCAGTCTACATGTCGTGCAACATTTGTATCATGTATCCCATTTCGAATGGGACACCTGCGACATGCAACCTTTGTATCGAACAGTTCCAAACACGGGAAAAATGTCGCGGTACAACCCTGGGACTTGTCGCGAAACCGTTGTTCCGCGACGTTGTCGCTAGGTGTGTCTTAGGTTTAAGATTTCAGCTCGATGATGGATTGAGGGTCGGAGTCAAGGGTTGGGACGACTAGCTGACGACTCACCCGCGACGAGGGAGGCGTTGAGCGCGGGCGGGGCGGGGAGCGCTGAGGACCAGGCGGAGGAGGGGTCGGCAACTGCCCCGAGCACCGCCAATAGAAGAGTCGAGCGCAGTGCTTCCGTCATCGCTACAACAAGTGCCGAAACCATTAACAATTTCTCTTGAATTCAACTGAAGCCTTTTTTGACGTGGCGAGACTCAGGCCTTAGGCCGTCTGACGCTCCTTTTACCCACTAGCGGAGAAAGGAGGTGACGAAATAGGCGATTTGAATTTATCTCAGAGGCGTCATTTACGGTTGAGAATCTTTTACCAGTAGCAAATCTACTAACATGGATGCGTAGGAAGGCGTACGAAGGATTCCCCCACTTGAAAACCCACGGTTTCGAACCCGCGAACTTGGATACAACAGTCCGACACGCCAAAGATCTAACCCTGTAAATTACGGTGTGAAAAACGTTTCTTTTTGTTAGCTTTTCTTCTTTCTTTTAGTTTTTAATGCCCTAGAACGCTTTGTTTAGGAGTTATTTAACGATATGGAGTCAAAAATCCCGCCGAGTGTGCTACGCGTTGCATTTGACATGGATATTTATTTTTATTCTACAGCGCCATCTAGTGCATTTCCTCGATATTTTAATAGTTATTCTGGAATTTGGGTTGGGGATGAATCCAAAAAATCAGAGATAATTAATATTGGTTGAATTGTTCTTCAGTTATAATTGCTGTAACTAACGCAACTTTGTTTCGTATATATAGATTTAAAAACTGATGATATATGTGTTTAGCAACAAATTACCATCAGTTTCTTCAAGTTTGTATTAAAATGACTGTTGTCAAAGTTGTAGAGTTTTTCTTCAAGTTTGTGTTAAAACGATTTTCGCAATTTATTCAGTGGTCCTCCGGGTACCTCTATGGAGTTGGTATACGACTGTTAAGCGCCATGTATACGCCGTCGTTTGTCAAGCCGGTCGCCGGTTCGTCCCAGCCAGTGATACGCGACAAAAACCGCATGCCGTAAGAGAAGATCACCAGGCAGATGTTTGGGGGCAGCTGATCCACCATTCCCCCCAGATGACTCCTAGGAGACCTCGGGTAGACTCCAGAATTCTCCTCGGGCAGAATACCACAAGAAGATCCGGAGACCTTCGAGATGTGTTGGGGAAAACTCCGAGAAGACGCCGAGAAAAAACCTTCTCGACAAGACTCGGAGAAGACCCTACGAAGACTCCGAGAAGTGTTAGAAATGTCTTCAATAAGAACCCGAGATGACTCCATGAAATACTTCAGAAGTGTCGGAGATTACTCTGACAAGACATCGTTAAACTTTGAGAACAACTCATGAACTCACAGACGTCTTCAACAAGATTCCGAATAGGCCATGAGAAGACTTCTAGAAGCCTTTTAGGAGTATTCTAGAGAAGATTTTGAGAAGACTTCGGTAAGCCCCTGAGAAGACCCCCGGTAAACTTTGACTTGACTCCGTGAAGACTAAGAAGACTCTGACAAGACCCCAGGTAGAATCAGAAAATACCTTAAGACGACTCTGAGAAGACCCCAGGTAGCCTAAAATAAGATTTTGAGAAGACTCCGGTAAGATCCCGAGAAGACTCCCGGTAAACTTTGAGAACACCTCAAGAAGACTCAAAAGTCTTCGACTAGACTCCGAGAAGACTGTAAGAAGTCTCTGGGCTGTATTCAAAAAACCTTTAGAAGGCTGAGGAGACTCCGAGAAGTCATCGAGAAAACTCGTCACTAGAAAAAAGGCGCAACAAGAGATCAGCCAATCTAAGACCGAGAATTACGAATTAACTAATTGAAAGAATAAATCATGTAACTTTCTCTATTAGGCATCAATAATTGCAATCCATTCTAATGCTACTACGTGAAGAATAATGCAATCTATTATGGTATGCAAAATTAAATCAATGGGTTTAACAGCCGTAAGGTCGGACATCCTTATTTTAATACAGAAATCCAGTATATTGCAAATCTCAAAACTCGTTTGTGTTACGACAGAAATTCTCAAACATTTCAGTCCATGGTTTAGAATAAGATCGCGCTTTTCAAAATGTATGCACATATATTTTTGTTATTATGTACTGTTTCCATTGTTTTCATAAAAAGCAAGTAGAGAATGTGTGTGTAATACCGCACACATTTTGTGATTGCTTTTTTACCCTATCCATATACCCTCCAAACGCTAAAAGAAGTGCAATTCGTTATTCAACTATCTGTCTGCTAATATTAAATCAACTAAATCAGCAATATGAGACGATCCTGTTGTGTATAAAAACCTGAAATGTGTCCCATCGTGCACCTGCGAAAATGTGTTCCCCTCCTAAAATGCAGAAAAGTATTTCCATGCAGAGGTAACCTCCATCAATACTGTCAAAATGGGAAAACGTTCCAGTGAAAGATTTGAATGTAGAACAACTGTCTTTATTGTAAAACAATACTTATATTGTTTATACAAACTCAAAAAAATTCCAACTAAAAAGTGTCTTTGGTGGAATTCTAAGTATCCCTTATGTTTGTACTATCCGCGCACTTTTCTTCAGCCTTCGCATCGCTAGATGCGAGAGAAGTGGGGAGTTTGGTTATTTTGACAAAAGGAATTTTACGTGAAATTTATAGTTCATTTTCCCTGCAAAATATTTTTATCTTTAGAATTTGGGAGGGACACGGGAACACGGGGGCGAACATTTCTCGTCGTCAGATTTTGTCTGCAACGCTCATTACTATTATTTATTCTTAATGCAACTTATGTTGGGAAAGGAGTGGGGGTAGATATTCCGGGGCTCAAGAAAACGTGCGGAAAAAATATACTCCTCAGCATGTTTGGTTTCTAAAGGCCTCCTTAACTTATTAGGTTTCATACTATCATATGCTAATAACGTCGAACATTCATCTTCATCACTGATAATAATTACTGTAAATTCTAAAGATAAACAACAATGTTGTCATACCTTCCTGATTTTGTGCCCCGTACTACATTTGAAGTGATTGGAATTAACTCGTTTGTGTTCACACTACTGATGTCATCCCTCGTAATTTCATTAAGGCTGTTTGACTTAGTGGCCCTAATTTGATCGCTTGCCAAAAATTTCTTCGTCCTCAAATGTATTCCTAAAACAAAGTAAACTCACAATAAACAAAATATTTCCACAACGTAGCAAAACAGTTAATTTGGTTTGATGCCGGACGCTACATGAGTCTTGGACTGCATGGGGAATGTGTTGCTATTATAAACAGACAAATTATCATATTAAGCTCACTTAATAATCGTTCATTTCTGCAAATATATTTTCAAAAAACGTTTGTTCATTAAATCAAATTAATGGAGATACTTACTGAAATTGGATCTAAAAAATGTATGGTTTTACAAAACTTTTTATTTGATATCAAAATCTTACATTCATGTTATAATATGAAAATATGTTATAATGTGAAAGTAATATAAAGATATTTTATTTTTAAAGTTTTCAAACTATTTTACTAAGGAATACATGGATTTTTCTTTCTCGCCCTTACTTCACAAGAAGAGAAAGTATTGTAATCGTTCGCCGGAAAACGGCGGCATTTCGGCATAAAAATATTTATTGCCGTGCCCTGGTGACCATAAAAATTATTTCTTCTAACACGTTGTGTAGTGAAAATCCATGTTTTGTTGGATTCTTGATATCGAACAATTGATTGATGGCAAAGCATCTGTTTATGATCAAAGATCCATTTAAATCGCTCAGTTAATTTTCTCCAAATTTGACATTCCTCGATTGACTTAAGTAAACTCGAAGGCCTCTGAGTTTGAAACTGATATTTTGATTTTTGAGGATATTTTACATGACGCCTTAAAATTCTAGAAATTTTCTAAAAAATTGCCCTAAATTGTTGGATTAAACTGATTTAGATAGCGTAAATGGCGAAAAAGAATGGTGCAAGTCTCATTTTCTTTGAAATACCTGGTTTTTCAAAAATCTCAAAAGTTCAAAAAAATATTCGACGTTTTTCTACAACTACAATATTGAAGATTCAAATTTTTCTCTTCATGAAATTGTTGTTGAAAGACATCTTAAAATAATGTCATGTGCAATTTTTGGTTAATATTTCTAGTTTTTGTGTAATTTTGAGTGAAGTATAAGCAATAATTTAGTAGTACTGTAATATTTTAGTACAGAAACATTTACCAGTAGTCATTTTCT